AATATCAAATGGAAAAAAATTATTTTATTTTGAAAAAAAAAAATATTAGATTTTCTGAAAATTTAGTATAATTTGAGGCCGATATTCTAGTGTAATTTTTGGTGGGATTTTGAACGCCCTCTAGCGGATTACAAAAATTACTATCGGCAACACTGCACCTAACAAGTAAACTAATAAGTAACACAAATTACTCATGTCTTTAAACTCGTTGTACCACCGGGGCACCATTCTTGATGGCCAGTTAAAGTATACACTTGTTATAGTGGCTCCCTTCGCCTGTATGGGCATCATAGTATATGGGCAGTGATTATACAGTTTGAGGGACTCGTCGCTGCGCTCCTTGGCGCCGTCGCTCCGCTCCGCAAATCGATAATATCCATCGACTTGCAACACCATCTTAAGTAGGTGACAGGGTAATTACTAGTCGGGTAACGAGCACTGGTGCCGAGGCCATCCACAGAATGCTAATATGCCTCCAGGAGCCTATCGGCTCTGGTCGCCTGGCTTGATGGCCAGTTGAAGTATAATAAGTATATAGTGGCTCCATTCGCCAAGCTCGAGTACCTCCGCCCTGCATTAAAGTAGTATTGCACGCATGCGTATAAACGTAAAATCGCAAACTTTGGAAGGCTATAACTTCCAAAATAATGGTTTCCGCACAAAAATTCAAACAGGTTCGAAATCAGCGTTGAAAAACACGTCTTGTAAAAAAAAGAAATTTCGAAGTTCGTGAGGGGCGTGGTAAAGTGCATTTTAGCCAATAGTTCATACAGGGTGGGGCATAATTTTCTGGAAAATTGTCGTCAGGAATGCTTTTATGACAGGAACAAATATAAATCAGGAAAATATTTTAGGGGAAAATTATGCTTAGAAAGTTAAAATTAATGAAAATATAAAGAAGGAAAATAATATACAAGAATTCAAAAATCAGGAAACTAATTAAGCAGGAAATTACTACAAAGGAAAATATTACAAGGGAAAATAAAAATCAGGAAAATATTAAGCCAGAAAATAATCGACGGGAATTTAAATACTAGGAATATATTTAGACGGAAAAATAATATTCAGGAATAATAGTATATTAGGAGTAATATATAGGCAATCTCTATATTTTTTGGTTAAAAGAGGTTTAGTCAAATTATGAATGTTATCACTTTATCAGTGTGATTTTTGAAATACCTATTTGAAAATTCTGAATAAATTGAAGATACCTAGACCTATAAATAAACCTATACAATTATTTTGAGTTAGAAATTCATAAATGTTCAAATTTTATATCTAAGGATTGAAAATTTAAAACAAAATTCCACGTAAGTAGTTAATTCTGTTACCAAAAAATCTAAAAAATACAGAAGCATAGTTTACTTTTATAGTCGTTTTAAGTTCAAATTTGGACGAAATTACATAATGAAAAACCTAGAATAAGTTATTTAGTTATTTTGTTGTGATTGTATAAATTATTCGTGGGTACTTGAAACTTCTAAAGTACACTATTATATATATATGATAGTATCAGAGTTTTTTGTCGATGTATTACGCGTTATAAGTACCTAATGGATATTGTGATATGATTAATTTGGAATTTATTATAGGTACCTATTATAGGTCAGTTTTTTGTTTAATACCATAGATATGTATATAATATGTCTTATACATAGACTGACATACCGTCACCGCTCAGAATCGTTTTTCTTATACAATGATATTATATCATTGAATTCAAATTTAATACCATCCATTATACAGTAAAGCAGAGCACCTTTTTTTAATTTGAATATACTGAACATTTTGATAATATTTATTGTATACAATAAAATCTAACGTATTTACGTATACCGTATACAATATACATACTCAAAAATAATAGTCCAGGCAAATTAAATAAAATAGCGGAAAAAAAAGCAGGAAAGCTGAATTTTGGTATACACCTTTATTGAAGGGTACTAAGTAACATACTAAAAGTCCCCTAAGATTTGATGACCGCTACCTCCGCTAGAGCGCGCTTTGTGCAAGAAAAATCAGTTTTTCTCAAATAACTCGGTTGTTATTAAGATTATAAGAAAAATACTTTTTTTTTTTTTTAAATCTAAATTAGACGATAGTCCGGGAGCCGTCGAAAGAGTGAGGACTGAGGAGAGCGCGCGAGCAGCTGCTGGCTTATTTTGTAGTATTTCTGGACATTCTACTGGTAAAGAAAAATTCTTTATGTGCAACTATTCCTAAATTGTTATATAATGGATCATTAGAAATTAAATCTGCCAAGTTTGTTGATGTGCAATGCCTAGCATCAAAGTATGTTCCACCTGAATACATTTGGTTCTATAAATCTTTAGTTGAAGAAACCAGTTCTAATCAAGATAACAATGGTACTATATCCAATGATGAAGATGACTAGGTATTAAAAATTGTTACTCAGTTTTAATATTAATATTAAAGAAAATATATTTTAGAATATTAAGAAATCAAAATGATTATTAGTTTTGTTTTATTAATTTTATTGTTTTGAAGTATAATTTTGTTTAAGATTTCAAATTTGAATTATTATGAGTGATATTATTTATTATTTTTATTATAAAATTTAAGAATCAAGGAGATCATTAGTTTTGTTTCAAATATTTTACTGTTTAACTATGATTGATAAAAAATCAAGTTAATTAATAGTTTTGTTATAAATATTTCATTGGTTTTTATTATTTTATTTGTTGTAAGATATTATATGTAATGACTGATAAAATCAAGCTGATAAATAAAATATCCATGTTACTAATATTTTTATTTTACTATCTTTTACCATGTTCATATAATTTATAATGTAGTTAAATGTGTTTACATTCTACTATGACTAATATTATTACCTATCGCTATCTTTAAGGTATGATAGCCAGTTTTTATGTAAAATTAAAAGAATAACAATTTAATTTTTCAGTTAACATAATACTAAGTGGTTAAAGTAGAAATATTACTGAAGAATAAACAAAATTCATAAAGTAATATATTTAAACTATATATAGCTAAATATTATTAGTGGAAAAACTTATGACTTCTATACACTTACTAAGCTTATTTTAATACATTTATTTGTATATTTATCAGAGTTAAAACTAAAAACAATAAATCATTTTTGGAGTTATCTTGTTTATTGTCCAGAAATTATAACTATTTTTTTGTTTATTTTTAAAATCATGTACAGGTTTAGTTTTTTTTTCTTAAAACTCAAGTATGCTGTTTGATAGTATAATTACATGATAATTATTAACTCAGTTAAATAAAAAAAACTAATTCTTAGTAAGATTTTTACATTATAAAAAAAATAAAAAAAAAGATTTAATAACTCCGAGCAATAAACAAGACAACTCCAAGAAAAATTTCTTATTTGTGGCTAAAGTGTAAAAAATATTCATGTATCAACTTAATTAAGGGTACCACAGTTTTTATCACTATTTTAAGTATATAAAATAATTTTTCTTTTTATTATTCTTCACTTAAATATATATTAAACATTAAATATGTGCTTCCTGAAAAAAATGATAAAACGGAGCTGTCTGGTTATTGCACAGAGCCCTTCAATTGTCCAAAACATCTAGAAAACTAGACTTTGTTTTGTAAAATAAAAATAAAAAAAATTGTAGTAAAATTGTAGTTTTATATTTAAGTATTTAAAGTTAGGGGGGTGAGGGGGGCGGAGCCCCCCTCGAGTTGATAAGTACTGGATAAAATCATATCCCCCCCCCATGACAAAATCCTAAATACGCCACTGTGCAGTGATGATGATACACGGTGTACGTGTACGACAACCTCCCGGCTCACCGGCATGATCCATTTTGGTTGAATATTGTACATTGGGTAAATACTTAAATCTCCTTCTAAATTCTTATGATTTACTGATTTTTCATCAAAAAATAACTAGAAACATACATGATTATTTAATTCAATATTAACCACTATGAGGCCATCAATTAATTAAAAATTATCTACGTACCTTGGCCAATGTCTCAGGATGCCGCAACCAATAAATTACTGTCACCTTTGCCTTAGTCTTATTAGCTTCTACACCACATAATGCGAAGTAAATTGCGCCAATTACATCTGCATACTCCCTATTCAAAGATTTGAAGTATGCATAGAATTGTGCTTCTGTAACTTGCGTAGGGTCTGCGATGCCACCTTTAATTGCAATTATCTCCCGCACCACAAGTGCCACACAGGGCCGGCGAAAGGGGGGTGCATGGGGGGGTGTGACACCCCCCCAAACTCGGTAGTTAGATTTCTGAGTCGGCAATTTGACGATTTTATTCCCAAGTCGGCAAACAAGTTTTTTTTTTCTAATTATTTTATTTCATTAATATTAATTACCATATAACCGTATGGGTATGATAAATGATAATATGTGATTATCGTAATGTTACTAAATATATCATACTATCATGTGCTATAATTATGTAAACGAAAAATCATAAAAATATAAATTAGTATTGGGGTATTCCGGGTATTCGGCGTAACTACTATCTACAGAGAATTTTATTACACTAATACACTATTATATGTTTTGAATTTTGGCCAAGTTTGGTCGGCACTCGGCATCGGCAACGGCATACGCGCGTCGGGCACTCGGGTAGTCGGGTGATTTGTGTGACCATGACCAACGTGACTGTTCCAGTGTTGCATAGATAATATTGTAAGACTTATGGACTGTCGACCACGATTATCTATAAATATCTTTAATCGTACTGTCAGTAGACTGTCGACTGAACGACAGCTGCTTGTGTATGGATTACCAATATCACGTAACAAATAATGATAACAATAAAACAATAACAAATCAACTAATTTAATGAAATATTATTTACATTGATTAATGATTATATTACTATCGTATTATTCGTATTATTTCCGATTTCGTTAATTCAAAATTGTTTTATAACTTTTTCTAATTTGTTATTGTTTATAAGTTCTGTACTACTGTTGTGACTTGTTGTGAATTTAAAAGAATAAAGCCAAATATGAACATGAACACAAACAAAAAAAGAAAGAGGACTAAATTAGTATGTTTAAAATGTGGTAGTACTTTTGACGATGATTATAAAAAAAAACATGAATTGACTCAACATGGAGGGGAAAAAGTTAGGGTGAAACATTTAGGAGCTCCAGATAACCCTTTTATTCTTGCATCATCAAAAAAAAAATGTACTTTGGATTCAACATCAATGCATAATATGGAGGTAGTACAACCATTGACAAGATATATTATGAATCGAACCACAACTATATTATACTACCTATATTATATGTTAAATTTTCGCCCGTTTAATGGCCCAAACGCTGAAATGCAATAACACCATTTAGATGGGTATATCATTGAAATAAAATATTTTGAGTAGTTTTTACACTCACTTATACATTGAAAACTATGAATATACAATTATACTTGTGGATTATATTATGTAGGTACATGCCTTCATTTTACCTACCTATATAAAACCCCTTAAAATATTCCTCACCCGCCGTTGGCCGTATCAAATTGTGTTAATTTAATTTGTTGTACTTAATTTAAATTGCAATATTTTGTGTTATACCATGCTAAGATATTAATATATTATTGTCACAAATCTTCGTATTTTATTTTTATAATATAAATTAACTGTTGTCTGTTGATAACAACAATAATAACAATATTATTGTGACCGTCTGAGCGATAACAACCGCCAGCCGGCTAGCTCCATGGGTTTTGTGTATATTAATATCGTTCATATTCGACTGCCAGAATAAATATATAATAAAGATATCAGTTTATTTATAGCTGTATAATGGAAAAATTGTTGTGTTGACTGTCGACATTATTGTGTGACGAACTAGGCACACTCCGACCTCATTCCCTACCATTATTTTATAACATCATAGATGTCGTGAACGTTAACCGTTAAAGTCATTCGTTATTGTCCGTATTTCGTTTGGTGCGTATTTGTTTTTTGAGCATTAGGTACCTATGTGTATTTTTGGTTTTAGACAACTCTTGCAATAGATTTTCAGCTTTCGTATGGTGTCAAGTTTGTACTACTCTTTTGAAATTTCCCATAAGTCAGGTATGTATAACATTCAAATAAACTATTATTTGTTTAAATAGGTATTACCTATGTAAATTATTATTGTAAATAGTGTTTTTACTACAGATATAGTAATATAGAGTATAGACATAATCATGCATCACTTGGGATACGATTATGTTGCTAATGGCCGTGCAAAACGAGATAAGTTTGCAACATTATACAATTACCTATATCATCTGTATTTTTTTAATAAGCTAAGTAACTTAATAAATAATAATGTAATATCTGTAAGTACCTTAGTAATAATTACTAATTAGTATAACAATTTAGAAATAATTTAAATCTGGGACGAATGGTCACCCTATTTTGGGTGTAACCTATTATGTTAAAAATTGGTGGTTACCAGTGCCGTAGCCAGACACTTTTTTTTGGGGGGGGGACTTAATTTTTTCTCAAGTTTTTGAAATGCTAGAATATCTAATTATGACCCCTTAGTTCATAAAGTATAATATCTACTCTTTTTCTGACTATATATTTATGTTAACAACTACGATACCTAGGTATATTTAATATAACAATGTAGGTACTAACATTACAAACAGTACCAAGTACTAACTTTGTAAACCATAGGTATTCATTAATATATATATATTAAGTATAACTTATAAGTGCATATAAATTAATAAGTATATTAATATATTATTACATATTATAGGCATTATTTAGTATCAATATGTGTTGTCTTGTTGTAAACAAAACTTTTCATTTTTTGTTCGACCATCAATATAGCTTTCATTACTATTTACTAGTTAACAAGAATACTATATTTAGGCTGTTGAAAGCTGGTCGTTTTTTCGTGCATTTAAACCAATAAGCGGACAAAAATATACTACCAGACTCCAGTATAAGTTCAGTTTTAATTTTTATACATTGTTAGAGTTTCTTCCCTTTTAGTCTGTTTTCGCTTTTTTGTAATACTCAAGTGAATTTTGAAAAAAAAATATTCATTTGGAACTATACTAACTAAACAATACAATAAATCAAAAATCCATTTGCTACATAACCTAGAGAAGATATTAGGAATTCAAATATGTTTTCAAAATTAAAATATGGCTTTTGGTACTGGGTGAATTTTTCTTCAACTTGTTGGGTCTTTCGTAGCCCATTGCACGTGGGAGTTGAACATTTTTGATCCCAAAATACATATTGACATAATGACATGTGACTGATCGTATGTACGTTTCGGATTTCCAAGATTCTTAGCCGTAGTTCATCTTTAATTACATAAAGCGTTCAGAAAACTTAAGCACACTAATGATCAGTCACCACACGCACAGTCATACAGTACTAGGTATCGATGGATGTAAAATATTTTCTAAATCTGACACTTTAAAAAAGGGTTGGCTTTCAACAGCCTTAATTAGTTATAATTTTTATCAGACATATAATGTAATAATAAATAAGCAAAAAAAAAATGTCGGGGGGGGGGGGGGGCACGTGCCCCCAGTGCCCACCCACAGGCTATAGCACTGGTGGTTACTGTTTGGTTAACCTAACCCCTTGGTTACTTATTGTTAGCGTGTAAACAACTGAAGTGATGGGTAACAATTATTATAAATAAAATACCTTAAATGTCTGTTAATCTGTACGCCGAAATGAATGTTGCGAGCACGACAGTGTAGTGTCAATACATTTTGTAAGCGTCGATAACACGAAAAAAAATAATTTGGTTATTTTTAGTTTTCTTTGAATTTCGTTAGGTAGTGTTCCTTATCATAAGACATCGATAATTTTTACTTTCAACTCGGGTAAACCTTACGATAGCGAATCTTTTTTTCATTTGGACTCCTAACATTGTCGTACAAGGAACTTCGAAAACCGTACTGATTCCAAATTAGTAAGTACCTAATTTTTATTTAATAATTTTAGTTTAATGCTATAAGAATAAAATTATGGCTTGTTTATTTTGTACCAGTTTTATATTGGGTAATAATAGATATTGGACAATTTGATATCGGTTTTCGATATTAATTTAAGTATTTAACTATACTTTATTACTATCGTTTATCGTTTAATTTATAACTGTAATATACTTAATATATACTTCACTCTGTAAAGAAAATCTCATTTTTTTTTTTTAATAGTTGATAAAATATTTTTTTTTAGAATTTATAAACTGAGAACTTCGAGGTTCAAACGATTTTGGAAATGTAATGAACATAAATTCTTTTAATGATGGAAATTTCAGAGCACTTGTACGGTTTCGTGTAGATTCGGGCGACACTATTCTAGAAGAACATTTAAAGAATGGTCCAAAAAATTCGTTGTATACTAGTCCTGGCATTCAAAATGAGATTATTTCTATTTGTGGCAATATAATTAAGTCAAAAATAATCCAAAGAGTTAATGCTGCCGAGTGTTTTTCTGTGTTAGCGGACGTTGACCTTGTGTATCAATATGTACCAAAATAAATTATAATTTATCACCCTACAATTTAGGTTTTTCCCGTTATATTAATTATAGGTATGCATATATTTATAAATAGATTATCAGAGTTTGCCATTGGATATGAGTCGAGTAAAAATGAAGATATTACGCCGGTACCGAGTAATGGCCGGGTAAAAATGTAGGTATTACGCCGGGTACCGAGTAAGAGTCTAGTCTTAAATATGATATCGAGTACCCGTCCAGGGTCTAGCAACTTTATAGCGCATTTATGGGCAGTGTAATTATGACATCAGGCACGCTTAGCGCTTCTGTCGCCAACACAATCCCCTACCCTACTACTATCTGGTGGACAGGTCCTCCACTCGGCGTCTCGGCACCATAGATAAGTAAACTCACTCACCAGTTAACTTATTTATGGTTTTTCACTCGACAATCGTGCATTAACCGTTATTCCGTTAACTTTTAAAGTTTTAACTTTTTGTTTTTGCCGCTGTTTTCTGACCACGGTCCTCGTTTTCAGATCGCAAACTCAAATCGTGCTTCTGACTTGTGTAGTGCTTCAGTTTTTTTTTCTTCTATAATTAATAATTTTCTGATAAATTATGTCCAGGCACGCATACAAATGTTGTATTCCGGAATGCCAATCTAAAGGTTCGTATACATTTTTAATAACTGTTTAAAGGTATATCCTATATTTTATCAGTTATGATAAATTTATAAGCATAAAATATTATTACTATGCTGATATTATGTCGGCCTAAAAACAATTTTAATTCCACGATTACTTGCTAGTTGCTTTCTAACTAATTTTGCTTGAGTTATTTGACTTAACTCTAAGAATATAATTATTGATGGATTTAAAACTGTTTTAACGTCATACTAGAAATGTAGTTAATGTTATAATAGGTATATTTTATTTTTATTATAAGTATAGGTAGTATTAATAAGTTTGAAATTCCGAATTGATTAAATATATTATTAACTGTAAATATTAAACATGGCTTGTGTGTCCCTAATTAAGGGGGGATGAGGGGGATATATCACCCCAGAGCCTATATAATGTGTATATTTATATATTAATTTGAAGCTTGTGGAATTATATGTTTTATCGTGCTGAGTGCTGACATCACGACGAAATATATTTAATATAATGTGTACATTTGTACACGTACATAGTGCTCGACGGTTTTTAGGTTTTAATAATATAATATAAAATTATTCAACTAAAAATTTCTTTCTATAACAACTGCAAATTCTAACTCGTGTCTCGTAACATAATTTTCCATAAAAGAAAAAATGGCTAAACAGCCAAGAAAATTAGAAATTTTTTTATAAACGTAAAAAATTATTATATTATTATGTACATTATAATTATTAAAAACAAAATAATTTAATATTTAAAAAATTATTATTTAATTTAAAAGTAAATTTTAATTCTAATATATTCAAAATTTTGAAGAAATTATTATAATATTGTATAGGTACTAAATTGTGTAGAATTTTAAAGCATATTGATTAATACATTTTGTGTGTAAAAAAATGTTTATCCCCCCCCCCCCTAAGACAAATTCCTAATTACGCCACTGAGTAGGTACACTGTAAAGTATAAAACTATAAAATACACAACCTAAATTTCAGTCAAATAAATTATTTTTATTTATTATATTAAAACAATTTTAGGTGCAGTATCACACCGATTTCCGAACCCCAAGAAAAATCGTGATACTTTTATGAAGTGGGTGGAAGTTATTGATACAAATCTAAAAACTATTGATCCATCAATAGTGTATTATAAAAAGAGAGTATGTTCTCTTCACTTTAGTAGTGATGTTATTAGCCCAGGAACCGCTAATAAATTAAAGGCAAATGTTGTTCCTACTTTACATATACCTGGTAAATTAATCATTCAGATAAGTAATAAAATAAGTAATTATTCTATACTCTTTTCAGAATAAGAACGCACCAGATTTAAGTAACAAAACCGGTTTTGTCCGTGGCCGCCTGGTTCCTTCTTATTCTGAAAAGAGTATAATTTCACTTCATCTTTGATTTTCAGTTGTTCCTATTGACGTTGAAGTTAGTGCCTCCTGTAGTAGTGTCAAACATGTAAATGTTACACCCACTCACAGTAAAGCACCTAGTATGTTTAACTTATTCTTCTTTCAATTAACCATTTGCTAATTTAACTTTTGACTTTCAGTTGTTCCTATTGACGTTGATGTTAGTGCCTCCTGTAGTAGTGACAAACATGTAAATGTTACACCCACTCACAGTAAAGCACCTAGTATGTTTAACTTATTCTTCTTTCAATTAACCATTTGCTAATTTAACTTTTGATTTTCAGTTGTTCCAATTGACGTTGAAGTTAGTGCCTCCTGTAGTAGTGACAAACATGTAAATGTTACACCCACTCACAGTAAAGCACCTAGTATGTTTAACTTATTCTTCTTTCAATTAACCATTTGCTAATTTAACTTTTGATTTTCAGTTGTTCCTATTGACGTTGAAGTTAGTGCCTCCTGTAGTAGTGACAAACATGATGTATTATGTATCCAAAATGAATCATTTGGTATGTTAATCTGCATTCTATATATATTTTAGTTTAAAATATATACTAGTATAATATGATATTGTAATGTTTATTTAATGTAACTTTTAAAATTTTTTTTTCAGGGGAATTTTGTTTAGATGGAATAGCAGTATTGCCAGAAGAATCCCCTATTCATTGTACGTATTATAATAATTTTGATTAATTTAAGCATGGCTACTATTTTTTCTTTTCTTACCTTTTGTTACATTTTACCACTATTTTTATATAAGAGCTTTTTTTAATATAAAATTTAATTAACTAATGAAATAGTGGCTTGGTAAATTTGTTTTTGTTATTTGCTTTATAATTGCATGCATTGTAATATTTAGTGCATGGTAATGATGAACAAGTTGCAAATATCCATAGTAAAAAATCTACAAAAACACTCAAATCCAGAACTGGTGAATCTTTTATATTATTCTTATTTATTTTATGAAGACGTGACACCTGCGTGTTGTATATAATTTATACAATGCAATAATATGCAAAGCTGATTTCAGTTTTTACTTCTTATGTTATATGTTTGAAGTTCATAAAATTATGGTACATTATTTAATTATAAAATAATTGTAGGTATCACGTCAACAGTATTACAGCAAAATTAGTGCTCAATGCAATTTACTTTTAACTTTTTAAAAAAAAAATAATTGATTTTAAAAATTGTGTTCTTTTAATGTAGGGATATTGGCAAAAATTGGTGTTCATAATAAGAAAAAATCAACCCCGAGGTGTAAATCAATATATGCAGATAGTATTATTTTAAAAAGAAAACTGCAGTATGAGTCTTCAAAATCTAAATATTTCAAGCAAAGGCTGATAGCTGCTGAAAAACTCTCAGATCGTTATATACAGGACAAATTGTCTGAAAAACTCACATCAGCTGCTACATTATTTACAAACTTGCAAATTCAAGAAACAAAAAAACAAAAAAAAAGGACGAAGATTCACACTTAATGAAAAAATATTAAGTTTGTCTCTGTATAAAAAAAGCCCTAAATGTTTAATCTTTTATCAACATTGTTCACTTTACCATGTCGTCGGTCTTTAATTTCTTTGCTCCACCAAGTTAAGATTGAACCTGGTATATCTCAAGTGTTGATGAAAGTATTAAAAGAAAAGGTTACTGAGAAAATTTGCACCTTAATGTTTGATGAGATGAGCTTAAATACAGAACTCCATTACAATGCAACTACAGGAGTGATTGATGGGTTTGAGAATGATGGTTGTGCGACTACTCAAGAATTTGCGGATCATGCTCTCTTATTTATGGTGAAAGGCATCACCAAAAACTACAAACAGCCTATAGCTTATACCTTCATAAAAGGATCTACTAACAAATTTCAATTATGTGCAAGGATCAAAAAGATAGTGAATAGCATTCAAGAAACTGGGCTAAAAGTTGTTGTTACTATTTGCGACCAAGGTGCTAACAATGAAGGCGCTATTAAATTGTTACACGAAGACACACGAGCTTACTGTTTAAAAAACAATCAACATTACAATGAAGATTTTTATGAAATTCAATGTAATGATCATGAAAGAGTGAAGATTATACATCTGTACGACCCGCCGCATCTACTTAAAGGCATTAGGAACAACTTGCTTCAAAAAAATCGAATGTTTATGATGAACGATCAAAGTAAAGAAGCTCAATGGCAACACTTGATAGACCTATACAATTTAGACAGTAACATTGATGAAGTTAAAATGTTACCAAGGCTTACGGACCATCATATAATTCCTGGCAGAATCAAGAAAATGAAGGTTAAAATGGCAGCTCAGGTCTTCAGCCAACGCGTTGCAGCATTGATGAAATTCTTAGCTGGTAAATGTTAAATATTGCTCTTTTTATCCATTTTACACATTTTTTTATGTATTGTTTTAGGCAAGGGAATACTTACTTCTAGTGCTCAAGATACATCTGATGCTTGCCTATTTTTTGACAAGCTCTTTGATTCTGTCAATGGAAATTCTCATAAAATTGTTGATGGCAAAATATATCGCTCGGCTCTAAAAAAAGGCAGTCCTCACCATAAATTTTGGGAAGATGCTTTAAAAATACTAAATTCTATGGTGTTTGTGGATCCAGTTACCAAAAAAAAGTCTTCCACACTACAACCAAGGTCCATACAAAACTGGATTAAAACCATCAAAGGTATACATGTATATATATTTCAATCTCGTCAAGTTATTTTATTTTTATAGTGCGTATAAATACTTATGAACATTTTAAGCTACATTTCAATAATATTTTGCCATTTATTAGTACATAAAGTGTTACCTATTTAGGCACTTTTTAGGCTTATGGCTTATAACGTATGACTAGAAAAAAATATATTTAAACTAATTTTGTAGTCTTGGGATTTCTATTCTAATTACCACAGACAGTATATTATTTTTGTGAAAAATGGAACTTGAAATGACTCTTAAGTTGCGCCACTGCTTATGAGCCCTACTAATAACTAAAGAATCAGATCATCTCTTATGGCAAAAATAGTGTACATTTTGATAATTTTATTTATCATTTTAGGTTTCCAAAACATTTTCAAAATAATGGCTGTAAAAGGTGTACATTCTTTATTGCTTCGGAACTTTAATCAAGATCCAATTGAAAATTCATTCGGTGCAATTCGGAGTCTTGGTTATCGTTCCAACAATCCATCAACTCAAAAATTTTCTTCGGCGTACAAGACTTTGATGTTAAACAATTTAACAACTTCCCACTCAGTTGGAAGCAATTGTGAAGAAGACCTTTCAGAAGGTACGCTGGCTTCATATCAAATATTGTTTACAAATTCGAGTGATGACAATACAGAAAATCAAAATCATATGCCAAGAGTTGCTGATGGATTGGTAAAATCAAAAACTGTGTGTACACCTGATCTATCATACCTAAAGCTCCAAACACAAAACTATGTGGCCGGATTTATTATTAAAAAGTTAAACCAAATTCTATTCAAAAATTGTAAAATATGTTTAAGTCAGATTTGTACCAATAATATTAATAAACCTCATGAAATTACAATGGCTAGATAATACAATAAACAACTGAACCTAAAATATCCAAATCTTACTTTTTGTCGCTTAATACAGGGTATAACTGATCTAATTTTTGCACAATTACCTTCAATATGTCATCGTTTAGATTATAAGACATTTTTAATGTCTAAAATTCAAGAGCAATTTAATTTAGAAATAATAAGTTGCCCAGTTCACTCTTCAGACTTCAAAACCAAAATTTTAAATTTTTCTATTAAACTAATAACAAACCACTGGTGTGTTGAAATAAACTGAATATTAAATGGTAAAAAAAAAATAAATGCTAACGAAAAAGACCAGATCAAAATAGCAGCTGCTAGTAGGTACAATAAATTTTCCAAGTTTAAAAATAAAACAATATTTTATTAGCCCTCAATTTTAAACACTAATGTAATTAGCAATTAATTAATCATCCTATTACACATCCTCTAAAAAAACCTACAGTGTTGTAAAATCAATACATTCCTCGCTTTTCTCAGATTCTAAAATAAATAAATATTTTAGATTCTGAACGGAGTGATGAATGTATTGATTTTACAATGATGTGTGTTTTTTTATATGGTTGCAACTCAAAAACTAATCACTGTAAATACTATAAGACTAATACTTATAACTATAAGAATGCATACTCACAATTTTTTTTTATTAACATTTGAAGTTCAAATATTGACAAAAATTCGTCAAAATCATCTCCGTTCAGAATCGTTTTTCGTTTTCAATGATACCTATCATTACATTCAAATTTAACACTACTATAATATATAATAATGATCCAAACGGCACCTAATGTACATATATGAGCGTTACCCACTTTTTTATATTTGTTGTTATTATTTATATTTATTATTACATTGTACACCAATTTCTTCAATGTATTGAATATTAATAATAATAATAATTAAAAAAAAAAAAAATTAATAATAGTATATTATTATTAATATTATTAATAATTAATAATAATTTATAAAATTTGTTAAGTTTCTGTTGTTTTCATAATTCCTAATTATAACACTATATTTTATCATATTGTATTCATTATATATTTGTATTTAAAAAAATGTATTAAATATTTTTCAATAAAATTTTACATTATTATTTTATTAATGTGTTTGTATTCATTTTTTAAAATCTAAGCTTATTATTCATGTTATTTATATTTTGTCAAGTATCAAACCTACTTATTATACAAACAATGTATAGATTGTAGATTATTCAATAAAGAAAAAAATATCTAAGTTAAAAAAAAAAAATGAGATGCCCTGAAATGAACACGAAGACTATAATGAGAACCCCTGTTTGAACACTAGTACATACATCAGGCACCTGGAGCGCAGTTTGCAATGACAACATTTTCTCCATGGCAGTTTCCCATCTATTAAGGCCCCCATACACGGTCAGTCTTGAATGACAATCAACGTGATTGACAGTCAAGACTGATCATGTATTTGCATGATTTAACATGATTGACAATCGATATTCGTGACTGATGAAATTCAAACATGTTTGAATTTTGACCGTCAGTCACGTTGATTGTCAATCAAGACTGACCGTGTATGTCTATGAATGTAAAATATATCAGTCATCGAGTCGAACTCGAACAGTGTAGACGAGTCGTTTCTGTTTTGTATATTTTCCATCCTCGTAGTTTATAAAATAAAAATAACAATAAAATGGCTAATAAAATAAATAATGAAGATTTTTGGCGGGAGTTTATACATTTATACCGCAGTTTACCGGCTACTTGGAAAATAAAAAGTGACATGTACAAAGACAGAGTTTTAAAACAAGAATGTTACATCAAATTAACAGAAAAACTAAAGGAAATTGATCCATCCGCTGATATTAATACTACTAAAAAAAAACTTAACACTTTGAGATCAAATTATCGTCGTGAGTTAAAGAAAGTGATAGGTAGTAAAAAATCAGGTGCAAGTACCGATGATATCTACTTGCCGTCAGTTTGGTATTTTGAAGAATTGGAATTTTTACGGGACCACGAGATTCAAATTAGTGGAACATCGACGATGGATGAAGACAATGAAGAAACATTTTTGAATACGACAACAGCGACGCAGCAATCGCAAGACATAACATTTGAAAATACCGTACGTAATAATATAATATTTTATTTTTGGAAATTAATTCCATAACTATATATTTAATAATATATATTTAACGGTCGATCGCGGACAATTGCAAAGTCGATCATGTTAGAATTTATTTTTAGGGACACGCGCACGAATTGTTATCGAATTGTCGATAAGTTTTATCTGTTTAATTTTAATGCCTAGATCAACAATATAATATGTTAATTAAACTTATCTATTTAGGTTTAGAAATTATTATTTATTATTACCTATATTATTTCGTTATTGAATTCGTAATTCAATAATTAACATACCAATCGTGAAAACTTATTAATTATGTTAGGAAAAATACATTAAACAACAAATTGTGAAAAATACAAGTGAAATTACTAAAGAGTGTTGTATATTTTTCATATTTTTGATTACAAAAACTTTTATAGCTAAAAATAATAATAATAATTACAAATTAAGTTCATAAATTAATATTATTTTCGAATAAATTGTCTTGCCAATGGACTGCTCCGGCGTTATTGAAATATGAACAAAAGTTATCTCGTACTTCTTTGGCTGTTGAGCTTGAATTTCTTCCTTGATAAGGTTGTATCTGAACTAATTGACCATTACTTCTCCAACTTCCCGGTTCCACCTCTCCCGATGAAATATTTTCAATGTCCAAAGTTTCCTCCAAAAATATTTCCATTTTATGTTTTCGTAAAAAGTTGTGTAGATGGCAGCAGGCACGAACGATTATAGTGGTTTTTTCTGGACATAAATTAATTGTTTTCAAAAGTATACGAAATCGTGATGCTAAAATACCAAATGTATTCTCTATTATTCTACGAGCCCTCGACAATCTATAGTTAAATATCCGTTTCTCTTTACTTAAATTTCTTTGCGGATAGGGTTTCATCAGATTATTTGAAAGTGGAAAAGCATCATCCGCTACAAATACGTATGGGAATTTTTCATTTATTCCTGGTAGGTAATCCGGTTCCGGAATATTTAATTTTTTTTCAAGAAAATTCTTATAAAATACAGTATTTGAAAATACGCCTCCGTCTGAAACTCGTCCGTTTGCGCCAATATCCACCATAATAAATTCATAGTTAGCATTTGCAATGGCCATCAAAACAATGCTGAACGTATGTTTGTAATTAAAAAAATATGAGCCAGATTTTTGAGGTTTTATTATCTCTATATGTTTGCCATCGATCGCCCCCAAACAATGATGAAAATTCCATTTTGACCCGAAGTCTTCAGAAATTATTTTCCATTCCTCTTCTGAAGCAGGCATCTAATAAAATATAATACAATAATTAGTAATGGATTGCAGTTTTATGTTTATTTATAGGTTATAACCATAGTTAATTTATTTCATTTTTATTAGCAGGAAGATATTTTCACAAAAAACCATTTTGAAACTCCTTTCTCGACTTCAGACCAACCACCCACAAAAAAAAAAAAAAAGGAAAATTCTGAAGAAAAAAGAAAAAATGATTTGCTAGAATTAGCATGTGAACGCCTACAACAAACTTCATCTGATGCCGACATTTTAGCAAAGAGTTGGGCAATTGAGTTACAAAAACTTGATACAGAACAACAACTGTTTGCTCAAAAGGCTATATCCGATATCCTTTTTGAAGGTCGCTTAAAAACACTCCATCGTAATTCTGTGAAAATCAATCATTCATGTGTGTGTTCGCGTTCTTCAACCCCATCAACGTTTGTTTCAACTATGCCTGTTTATATGTCTGAAGGTACCAATTCTTCACTATCCAACCATACACAACAAACATGGGAGATTCCAATTGCTTCAAACCCAACATTGTACAGTAATTTGGGTGAACTTCTTTCCGACACTCAATATTCAAATTAAGATGTATTATTTTGAGTTTATACTATACAACACAATTTGGTTGAAGATAATTTTGATTAATAAAATAATAAGGTGTAAATTCAATTCTTTTTATATTTATATATTTTTTTTCAAACAAAATAACTTAAAATGTAATTACTGCTATCAAAAGAGAAAAAATGTATTATTCTTGTAATACTATTTAAATAAATAAATAAAAAATCCGGTATACTCAAAACCTTGTAAAATGTTTAATTCTTTATGCCTTTAAAATTGTATTGCACCAAAATATTCACAACATCATATACTAGATGTGTAGAAAGTTTCATATAGATCGGCTGCACCAATTATTTTTTACAAGTGTAATTTGTTGTAAACATAGGAAATTTCGGCAAAACGCAAACTTAAAACGCTTGTAAAAAAATATTGTGAATAACGATTTTTGATATTTTTTCATCATCGGTAGTAATACTTATGAGTATTATTGTATTAAATTTTCAGCTCTAATTATCCAAAGGTTAAAATTTTACGAAGCAAAAACTTACAAAAAACGAGAAATTTCCAATCTTTTCAAAGTTCTACTTACAAATAAAAAGTTGTTAAATCTTTTTGAAATTTTTATTGGGTATGTGCGGGACCTATTTTAGTAGTCAGTAAAATTTTCAAGTCCCTAGATTTATTATTGACGGAGTAATGGCTAAAAAACTAAAATAGATTTTACTAAAATCGAGAATACGGCATTTTTCCCGTTTTTTGTCAACTTTTCGGTAGTTATGGCCCACCCTTGGACAAACTATTGAGAAAATGAGCCGAATTAAGTACCATCTGGGGATGATTTCCTATCTAAAAAGTTGCTGGATGAAACTTTTGGTCCAGTATTTCTATAAGAAAAAGTGTTTACATACATAAAAAACTAAAAAAAAAAAACAGATTTTTAAAACCAATACATTCTTCGTTTCACTCAGAATCTAAAATTATGATTTACTTACCTTTATATTATCTTTTAGTGCAGTTGTTATAGCTTCACATGTTTCAATTATAATTTTTCCAATCGTTTGTGGAGCGATTGCGGTCATGAATTTAAGCTCTTCGAAATTAGCGCCGGTCCGCAGATATCGTAGCGTACACGATAAACGTTGGGCCGATGAAATTGGTTCTCTCATACCGGTATCCTGTTTCTCTATCATTGGTGTAACCATCTTTAATAAATTTGAAAATGTTAAGTGGTCCATGCGAAGATAGTTCTTATAATCAGATGGAGAAGATAACATTAGTTCGTTGAGAAGATTATGATGGGTGAATGTGTTCCTTTTTTTGAACCATTCCTTCATCCAAAATCTTTTTTTCCTCTTCTTCGTCTTATTCATTTTATCAGTCGCAAGGTAAATGGCAATACCAATGATGGCTTCTTCATCCATTGTGCACTTAAAATTGTGTATTAAAATTTGAAACGAATTTAAATTTTAAATTTAAATTTAAACGAACAACTACTATATGACACTATACACACGATACACCATACTTTCAATACATACCAAAACAAAATGAGTGAATGACTGTAGATTGTCATTCTTGATTGATTGTGTATGGAAGTTATCAGTCGTCAGTCAATGATTCGTCTTGACTGTCAATCACGTTGATTGTCATTCAAGACTGACCGTGTATGGGGGCCTTTAGTTTACTTATCTATGTACCCGTCCATCGAGTAATTGCCGGGTACCCGGAACATCTCTAATATATAGTATATAATATAATACAGGTTTATTAGGGTCTTTACTCGACACACTTTACTAGATATTGCTATCAAACACAGGCTAACACTATATATTGTAAAAATTAAATAACATTTAATAATAATTATATACTATCTACACTTGAACTCTAAAATTAAGCGGTTTAAATCCCCACATGTCCACATGTTGGTTTTATTATTTTCAAATAAATAAGTAATTTGAAACCAAATTTATAATATTAGCATAACGAATACGGTGTGTGTGATTAGCTCGACCCGCACACAAGGCTGAATCTTGCGTCGTCGTCCACTTCGATCCATATCTCGTGTACCTTTCTTATATAAATCCTCTGTAAAGCTTCCACACACATCAAGCCGAAATGAGCCATAATATAATGCACGAACATTTTAAAAATAATAAAAAATTATACAGTAGAAAATATGTAAGGTATAAAAAGTAGGTAACATACACAGGCGTGCAGAAAAACAAATGGAGTATGGACGCCGGACGCGTCGACGCGATTTTCAATAAAACAGCTGGAGGCTCGACTATTACTCTAGTAACACTTGGATTCCAGGGAGTGTAACCGCCTAGGGACATCCCTGGGAAGTTAATATCATAGAGTATTACACTATGGCATCGAGATACATAAACAATACTGGAGCGCGCACTTACCAATATCGTCCGTGAGACGAAAACGAGCCATGTCTAGAACGTTACCCCCACCTCTGCAAGGCAAAAAAAATAGCCGCAAACTTGCGAACGTACTAGAGAACATAAACGCCTCATAATAATTTAAGTACTTCCACTCGTCCGATTTTAAAAATTAAAAACTATTTGTACTTGTTAACAAGCCTACTATACAGCGATATAGTTTTAAACAGAAAAATAAAAATAAATAGCTACACAAATGACAAAAGTATAAAACGAATAATATAGAAATTTATCGTGTTTACAGACAATAAATGCTGATTTAGTCGAAGCATGTAATCATGTAGATAATGTGTTAGTAATTTTGGACGAAATGAGAGAAAATAACAATATACATTTTTCAGACATGTTTTCTGTTGCTGCGACTATGCTGAATAAAAAAAAAGAAGAAATAAATTTTCCTCGTTTTGCTAATAGACAAACACACCGTAACAATGTGCCCGCTAATAATAGCTCTGAAGAGTATTACAAACTTAATATTTTTTTGCCATTTCTTGACCATATAAGAATACAGCTTTCTGATAGGTTTCAAAAACACAAGTCTTTAATAAGTTCACTACAACAAATTATTCCGAGTAAATGTATATATGCCACTAGTGAAGAAATAAACGATTGTGTACAGTTTTATTTTCAGATATTGACAGAGCCTACTGTTTTCAAAGCTGAATTTTCAATATGGAAATCAAAATGGCTTAAAGAAGAGTCACATCCTAATACAGCAATTTCAGGGCTTGACAATTGTAACATCTTTTTATTTCCCAATATATGGAAACTTATACAAGTCTTAGCAACAATACCTATGTCAACGGCGACACCAGAAAGAACATTTTCTTCTTTAAAAAGATTGAAAACATATCTTAGGAACTCGACTGGTGAAACTCGTCTCAACGGATTAGCATTAATGTCAATTCACAGGGAAATAAATGTTGATCCAGAAGAGGTGCTAAATCGGTTTGCCAAACAGTCGAGGAAAATGATGTTGCTTTAAAACAAACTCTGATTTGTTGTTAATTTAATTAATTTTTTTTCTTAAATAATTACAGTATATTAAATAAAAAGTGATGTATTTTGAATGATAAAGTAAATTTGTATTGAACAATGATATCGTTATATTTCATTCAAATTCTTAAAAATTATGTTATAGTTTTATATTAAAAAATGAACCCCCCCCCCAAAAAAAAAAAATAATTCTGGATACGGCCATGAGGTAAGTATGTTAACTAAGTAGGTACTTAAATTTAAAGTGATGTTAATCTATAAGACCTTTTTTTAGTTTTTCATAAATTCAATATTTCAATAAATAATATCGTCGCCTAAGAACCATCATGGCCAATCTCAAAAAATTCAAATATATGTTTTATATATCTATAGATTCGTATTTTCGAGACGCATAAGACCAAGTGATTAGTTTCGATGTTTGTCTAATAGGTTTGCTATAAATATTCTAAAAGTCATCATGACCTATCTAAAATTGTTTTTATCAGTGGTATATCATGGCCTATCTAAAATTTTTATTAGCAGTATCATAGGTGGGATCATGGCCTATCTAAAATTGTTATCAAAAAAAAAATTGTTATCATGGCCAATCTAAAAATATCGGAACTGCCACTATTAATAGAGAGCCGTCAGCAGCCAAAAACTCGATGAAATCAGTATTACTAATATTATTATTATTATTGACAATAAGATGAAACTTTTTAGAGTTATTTAATGTCAAAAGGTCTACCAACATTCAAAATTCCTAACAAAAAAACAGTTTTTTGTTCACCCTGAAAAGTTGGGAAAACTGAGATTGGCCATGATGGTTCTTAGGCGACGATATAATGAAATATAAAATTCAAAATTAAATTTTAATGAAAAAAATAAAATAAAAAGTAGTGTTAACTATTAATATGGACAGTGGCGTACAAATGGGGGGGGATTTCGGGATAAATCCCTCCCCAAGGACAAAAAAAAATCCAATTTTTAAAGGGTTGGATAAAAAATAATATATACACTATACACGTCATGAAAATATCATCATGTGTATAAAATTAAATTTTTGTAAATTATGATGAAATCACATAAATATTAATTTTTCGTCTGAGGAGGTAAGGACTAAAGAATAAAGATATAAATAAATGCTTGCTATTCCCATACAAATTATTGTTGTGTAGATATTAAATATTGTTTATCATTATTATTAAATTATAGCTGTCTGTGACCCGTTGCATGTGTGTGTGTGTCTATTTTTGTAATGGCCTGTAATTTCCCTTATCTCTTGTTTATTATTCATAATAATATACACGATTGTCGGATTGTCCAAATGTCCGAGTTCAGTGTCGTAATCTAATCGTTTAGTGTACAAATCTATGGTTGTACTGTCGTGAACTCGTGACTTTTTTATTTATTTTCAAATACCTACTATATCAAAATATTAAATCAATACAATCTGCAATAGTTATCTAAAAAGTAAAGGTAAGTCAATTTTATGATTTTGTTTATAAGTTGTCTTTAATATTCTTAATGCATTTGGTATACACTAGTACATTTTTTATTGGTAAATTAGACTACATAACGCGACTAAGTGAATATACAAATACGTAAACGTTTAACAGTGTTCAAAATACTTATGCGTAAAATTGCAAAGGTGTATCAGTAATCTGAGTACTGGTATGCAAATACTTTTTTTCTTAATTTAAATGGTTAATAAGACATGAGTAAGTTTTATGGTTTTACCTTATTTCAATTATACAGATGGAACCTGTTTTATATTTTTAGTACCTATCTTTAGTTTATTTAATGTTTTTGTACATATTTAAATTTATAAATGCATATTATGTACTATATTGGCTAAAATTGACGTGTAACGTGTTCAAATTAAGATATTTATAATTCGATATAATGTTTATTAAAGACTCAAGTTCAATAGACAATAATAATATTGGTTTTATGATTTTAACGAACTGGTGCTAATTTTATTAGCACTTATAGTCTCAATATATTATTATGTTTGCTCCTTAATTTATAATACTATTAATACCTATATTTGATAATAAATTCAAATTACTATTGACGAGTGTCGATTTAAATTTTTTATTCAAAATAAATCCATTTACAAATGTAATTTTTTTCTGTAATAAATAATATTAAAAAGATAACTTTTAATTAAGAACAATAACAATTAATAAATTAATAACTATTTTATATATTTTTTAAAAATGTATTATATTTTGTTCTTGTAATAACTATCGTTTTTTATTACATTATGATTTATTTTTTTATTTTTAAGACTCGGTAAGTATAGTGGTTATGGCTGAAAAAAAACAACCCAAAATTCATTTTTTTTTTTTCAAAACCTATCCCGGGTACATCATCGCCACATCAGCTCTCTTCTTCAGATTCGCATTCACCAGATTTGCCATCAACAATTACATCTTCTATACCATTATCCTCATCAGACCCGATAATCACAGAGCCAACTTTAAATGATACTAAAATCACTGATATTTTTGATATTGCGTGTTATACAAACAAATTGTTGTCACAAAATGAAAAGGCAGATATTTTAAACAAAATATGGAAACCTGATTTAAATTATAATTTTCCTGTTAAAACATCAGTTGTTGGTAAGAAACAAAAAATTGTAAAATTAAAATTTAAATTTAAATGGTTTTTAAATTTCCCTTGGTTGGCGTATTCAAAAAGTGAGAACGGAGCATATTGCAAATATTGTGTCGCATTTGCTAAGAACGAAGCAGGCGTTAATAATCAAAAATTGGGAGCATTGGTGTTAAAAAAGTATGATGATTGGAGGCATGCCTTAGAAGATTTTAAAAATCATTCAAATTTAGAATACCACAAAAAATGTTTATTAGATGCAGACCATTTTTTGAACATGTTAAAAAATCCAACTAAGTCAATTGATAAAATAATTGATACTGAAAAATCTAAACAAGTGTTGAAAAATCGAAAAAATATAATTCCGATAATTGAAGCCATTATCCTATGTGGTCGTCAAAATCTAGCTCTAAGAGGACACCGTGATTCTGGAAAGATTGATACAGACTCTTCAAACAATGAGGGTAACTTCAGAGAAATTTTACGTTACCGTGCCAAGGGTGATATTGAAATGCAAACTTATTTAGAAGGTCCTGGAAAAATGAAGTATATTAGTCACCGAAGCCAAAATGACATGATTGATGCTTGTAATAAGGTGTTATTAAATAAAGTGGTTTCTAAAGTCAATGCAGCGAAATGCTTTTCAATTCTGGCAGACGAAACTGCTGATATTTCAGGTATCGAGCAAGTATCATTATGCGTTAGATATATCGAACTGAACACATTGACTCTTACAGAAGAATTTTTACAATTTGTTCCAACATCTGATATGACAGGAAAGGGAATAGCCAATTTAATTTTAGAAAGTCTTAAACAATTTGGAGTTGATACAAAATATTTACGTGGACAAGGTTATGATGGGGCAGCAGCAATGTCAGGAAAATATAACGGTGCCCAAGCTCACATACAAGAAATATATCCAAATGCCATTTATGTGCATTGCTCTGCTCACTCATTAAATTTGGCAGTTTCCAAATCTTGCAGTGTACCAGAAATACGCGATTGTTTGGGAACAATTGGGCAAATTCGTGATTTTTTTATCTTTCCAAAAAGAAAGTTCATATTAACATCAAAAATCGAGAGCTCTTCATTATCATCAACAAAAAAAACACTAAAAAGAAGCTGTGAGACTCGATGGATTGAGCGATATCATGCGGTTCACGACTTCTTAGAACTCTACGAATTTGTCGAAGAAGCGTTAGAAGATATATCAATGTGGAATGATAATGATACATCAGACAAGGCAAGACGTCTAAGAAGCTGTATATTAAATGTAGAATTTATTTTGAGTTTGATAATTTTAAACAAAGGATTTGCTTTAGGTTTGGCCTTATCAAAGTGTCTTCAAACAACAAGTATTGACCTTAAAGAAGCCATGTCCTTAGCAAAAAACACAAAACAAGAATTAGAAGAGATCCGAGCAAATGCTGATACTTATTTTAGAGAAATGTTTGAACAAGTTAAATTAATGACTACACAATTTGATATTGAAATTAAGATTCCGAGGACAGCTAAACGACAGACTAACAGATGCAACATTGAAGTGGATAACGCGGAAACCTATTATCGAATATCAATATTTATCCCGTACCTAGATAAATACATCAATGAGTTGGAGAACCGATTTACAAATCACCACACTACATTGTCAAGTTTCCATTCTTTATTCAAAGAAAATGGGTATGATGAAGATTTTATCAATCTTACAAGGCAGTATAGTGAAGATCTGGAGGACGTTGGAAATCGTGAAGAGATATTTATAAATGAATTTAAACTTTGGCAAAGGAAACTCAAAAATTTACCGGAACTGGATAAATCAAAAAATGCGATCGATGCCCTTTCTGTGTGTAACAGAGTAATGTTTCCAAATGTGTTCAAGCTTTTGCAAATATTAGCAACTCTTCCGGTGTCATCTGCTTCAAATGAAAGGTCATTTTCTGCCCTCAAGCGAATTAAAACTTACTTGAGAAACTCTACATCTGAGGTATATACATCTTTATATTATAGAAGTATTAGACATTAATAACTGTTGAAATATACAATTTATATTAGTACTTAATTCAAATTTAATAAAACTTACTTTTTTTTTTAAACAGGGAAGACTTAACGGTTTAGCTATGTTATCCATAAACCGTCATCACGATATAAGCGCAAACGAAGTTCTTATTGAATTATCAAACAAGAAACGACGTTTGGAATTTTTGTTGTAGTATAATATTATTAATATTCAATATGCCTATTTAAGTTGTTTTCAATTTTTTAATAAAAGTATTATTACAAAAATGAGTGTGAAATTTGAATGTTTTAACAACTATGGTATTTCGTCTTTGATAAAACATTGAATTGGGCGAAGCAATCTGATAAACATATGTATATAATATTATTTAATCCCCCCCCCATAATACAATTGAATGTACGCCACTGAATATGGACCTACTTTAAAATTATTAGATTTTCAGTTTCCTTAAAAAATCCCGGAACAAATGCACTTTACCACGCCCCTCACGAATTTCGAATTTTTTTTTTTTAAAAGACGTGTTTTTCAACGCTGATTTCTAGACTGTTTGAATTTTTGTGCGGAAACCATTATTTTGAAAGTTATAGCCTTCCAAAGTTTGCGATTTTACGTTTATACGCATGCGCTCAACACCACTACATTACAGCCGCTCGGAGCGTGTATAATCTATTTAAATTCTTTTTACGGGGACAATAATTTTAAAATTCAAATTCAATTTTTTTATTCTATTGTTTATTGCACTTATACACATTATGAAAAACCTAACAGTCAATACAATTAACATATTATATTAATAAACAATATTATCATCAGTTTCTTCATTATCATCTGTATCACTGTTATCGTCACTTGAGTTTTGCTCAACATTAATTGGGACTTACCTACTATACCTATATTGTACTCAAACTCGATTTGCCATCGTTGCACTCGCTCGCTGCACTGCCTTTTTACGCATATCTACAACGCTATAATTAAAGTAAGGGAGCACGTCCACCGTAGGTAAGTGACCTACACCTAAGTTAGGGAATTCCACTAGATCTGGTGGATTTAGCAACCCGACAGTGGGAGAAATTCATGTTTGGTGGGCAGTGGAATTTTCAGTTGATTTTGAAAGATACTTGGTGTAATTTCGGTGTAATTACACTGATTAAAATTTACTTAATATATCAATAACAATTTTTAAAAATATAAAAAAGAAAAACTAATATAATAATATCTCATTATTTATAATATAGTACGTGAATCATGTAACCGTCTATCACCACTACGATAATCTTACATCGTGATCACTATCTAACTTTGGCACGATGATAATTATATGAGATAATCAGTATATTATATTCTGTGATAATAGTGATATCACAGTATCAAGATTCACGAAATAACGAATTATAATATCAATTATCACATTTTGTTAGTACAACTTATCACTAATCACCACCTCACCGACGCAGCTCCCGCTGATATCGCCCAAGACGCGGTTTCTTCCACTGGCACAGCTTCATGTACTGGAGAAGCTGTAACAATGTTATTGATGAATTAATATAATGTGTTATGGCCATGCATCATAGTAGTAAATATATTAGAGATCAGCACACTTCATAAATTAACATATATAGGTAAGGCCTGGTTAGGTTGGACTTAAAATAAAAAAATAACGACTAGGCCTGGTAGGTACAATTTTTTAAGTCAAGTAAATTGGCCTAAAAAAGACGACCTGTGCTGATCTCTACTAAATATTACAATAAATTAAATCTCACTATTTGCATGTTTGGATTTTTTCTTGCCCCGGACCAACCGCCTCCTAGTCGATTTGCCTGGCCACCACGGCCACCCCTTGCAACGGGGTGGCCGGATGACACCGGTGACAAGCTGCGCCGACTTGGGTGTGGGTTGGTGTAGTTTGACGGCGACCGGTTACCCGATGGCCGTCGTCGCGGCGCTGATGGTCGCCTATGAGGCTAGGTGGCCTGCTGCCGTCGTCGCGGCGCTGATGGTCGCCTATGAGGCTAGGTGGCCTGCTGCCGTCGTCGCGGCGCTGATGGTCGCCTTCGCGGCTAGGTGGCATATTCTGGTTTTCAATGGTTCTTTAATTTTAAAAGTGTATTTAATAATTAAATTTATTAATTTTAAGCATAGTTGTAATATTTTATATCATATAATTTTAAATTATTTCCATTTATGTACTTATACATATATTATAATTCTAATGACATTTTGAGAATAATTAAACTGTTTAATGTTAAATAAGTACCTATATTTAAATGTTTAAGTCTCTTACATTTACCTAGCCCATGTCAGTACCAACAGTGAGTATACGAGTACACAATTTTCAGTATATTTACTTATTTTTTAACACTATACAGAAAACTAACGTTATTATTTTTACATTTTTACATTAAGTCTTAAAAATCATCTATCAATTAACATTATAAATATAATAATACGGGTACCCTTTCATCAAAAGGAAGAGAAAATTTTTAAAATTTTTACTAGCTGAAAACCCAAAATGTATTAAGTATTTGTATTTGTATGAGAATTTTTCAATTAACTGGTATGTTGTTAAAATCTGAAATACCTAGTAAAGTTTTAACTTTTCATTCAAATTAATGAGTTAATTAAAAAAAATGTTGACATTTCAAAAAACAATAAAAATAAACCACTTGAATCACACAAATGTTTTTACAATCAAGTTTTCAAAATTAGTTTTTTTCAAAAAAAGTTTAAATTTGATTTAAAAATGGTTAATTTCCGTAATAAATATAAAAATAAAAAACGGTATATTGTTTTATGATACATGTAGCGCAAACGTCAATAAATGTTATATAAAAAAAATTTAATTATATAGTAAAAAAAATTTTAAAGTATACTACTTACAACAAGGATATTAAGACGAGTGCACGAGTGTCGAGTACTGCCTGTGACAGTATACTCTATTTTTCGAGAGTTGACCCACTTCCGCGCATGCATACTGAGCCGCCGGAACGTTCAGACCCCCCAGGCAGCAGTCGGCGGTGTTCGGCGACCGACGGCGCTTGTCGTAGTAGGCAGCTGCCGCCGTGTACAATCGACACCAGCGCTCAAACGAGCGGTGGCATGCGCGGCCGCGACCGGTTTTCGTCGGGCGAGTGGGTCAACTCTCGAAAAATAGAGTATAGAATCATGACAAAGTATATATTTTGTCATGAGTAGAATGATGAATGGAAATCAACGAGTGGCGGCCAGCGAGAGCTTAGTATTTTTTGCCAAACGAATATCCCCACTGCCCGTTTTAGTATTAAGAGTTCAGGTAGAATTTAAAAATATCCAACGCTCGAGAGATGGCGTTGTGCGCCGTATGCCACCGTCGCGGTAGGCCGTAACCACGCCCATCGTCTACGCGACAAAGTTCGAGCGTCGTAATCGCGGGAGCGGTACATCATTTCACGGATGGTCGATTAGAACGTTTCGCGTCAATGCAGTTGCGTAAATGATCGCCCATGTACTAGCATGCGGTACACAAGTCGCGACCTATTAATTAAAGTTCCTGTTTGCTTAAAAATATCAAGCAATAAATAAAGCATACAAATTATTATACACCATAACTCGATTTATATTTCTAACCCAATTACTTTTTAAATACATAAAAAATAATAGTTTCATTACGATATAGATTTTGTAGTAAATATGTCGCGTATTTTACGTTGTAACTAATTGGTGACCGGGAATACTTTTCGACTTTCGTACGATTGTTTGATCTCCTATATATACGTATTAGTACAGTGTTTTAAATAGTTTTGATTATTATAAAATATATTGATGTAATTAGGTACTTATATTTAATTAAAACATAATTTAGGAAGTTGATTGTATTTAGTATGCACCTATGTAAAAAAACCGACAGTATACACTTAACATGTTCATCGTTTATAATATTATATATTTATTTATTTATTTATTTATTGAATAAACGGGCGTGAGCCCAGGTTGAAATAATTAGGTGTACAATACAATCATACAATAACATAATATGAATAATAAAACACAGTATAAAATATAAAATTAAACTAAACAATGAATAGAAAAGTAAAACTATTAAAGGAACAACGGATCCTCATTGGCTAATTTCATTATTCTCGTAATATGTTCATTTTTTAGATAGTTTCTAGTGCAGAAGGGTATTGAGAAAGGATGATTATTGCGGGTGGACCTAACAGGAACTCTAAAGTTAATGAGAGAAAGAAGGGATCTGGAATCGATCAAGCATGTTAGGAGTTTGTTAAGGAAAGAGAGATTATTGAAGCAACGACGGTCGGCTTGGGCGGATAAGTAAAGCAAACTGGGAAGAGGAGTGTAATCGTGAGGGGTGTAGTTTACGTTAAGAGAATGTTTCATGTAACATAAAAATTTTCGCTGGACCCCTTCTAGTTGAAGACAAGCATCAATTGTTTGGGATCCCATACAACTGAGCCGTATTCTACGATTGGACGTACAAGTGCACAGTATATTGCAGTATATAATATAATCTATATAAATTAAAATTAAATTATGTAAGTACCTACACACACATGTGCAGAACACTTTTGATTGAGCTATAATATAGTTAATTAAAATACACCTATTAGATTAATTACAATTTATCATAATTAATAACTTAAATAAATGCTAGTATTCAAAGAAAATGCGGATAACCAACGTATAATATTATAATGTATAGGTATGCTTTTATTTAATGAAATGTCATATTATCTACATATTATTATCAATTATTGTAAAAAATGCTTAAGTAGTTACGTGTATAAAAATGAAAGAAAATATAATATACTAGCTGATCCCGTGCACTTCGTTTCCCGTTAAATGTACCAACTCTATATGACTCAAACATTGTTCAATGCATTATTTAATATTCGGTGTATGATGTTCTAGATTTATCTTAACTTTTCTGTTGCCCGGTATAAAAATTCTCAATTGCAGCAGTACATTATCAGATAGGTAATTTACCTGCGGTAGATCGCGGACCCCGTGCTGTTTGTACGTAAGTGTATGGTTTAACTCAAAAAGTACCAAAGTTATAACAAGTTTGACGTTTTTACTTAATTCCACTAACCTAACATAACCGTACTAAAATCCGATGAATAAAAAAAACCAAATTTAACCCTTTTTAAATTAGCGTATCTTCTTCCCATATTTCTAATCTACACACCGTCATTCATTTTTATATAAAATATATTTACAAAAAATAATAATACAAATCAACAAACATGCCCGATTAACCAATAGCAACCAATATAATATAATACACCATAGAGTAAATAAAGACAACGGTATCGAGTTCAAATCCCAGACATCTATATATATAAAAATGGAGACAAAAAATTCGAAATTGCATCAGTTGAGAACAGCTGGGCCGATTTTGCTCAAATTTTTTTAAGATGTTCGTTATTGCCAGGTGAAGGTTTTTACGAAAGAATATTTTTAAAAAGTCAACCGAATAATTAGAAAAACTGCAAAAACTATTTATTTATGTCTGGGATTTGAACTCGATACCGTTGTCTTTATTGTCTTCATCAGCCGTTCTCAACTGATGCAATTTCGAATTTTTGTCTCCATTTTTATATATATAGATAACATTATACAATTATTTTATTTTATTTTGCGTTGTTATTACAATTAATAAAAAACATATGTAACAATTATTTAAAGTCACAAACACAATTAATTTGTATACAAATAGAATAAATAAAAATATTAATTAATATACATTTGATACAAATATTTTGTTATCATTTACTCAATTCCAAATAAAAAATAAATGTATTTTTTTATTTTGATAGTTTTAAACAATCACCATGGCATGTAGATTTGGGTAAACATTTAATTTATTTCTATGACACTAAAAGTTTTCCATTTCCAATGAGTCTTCATCAAACTCTCGATCATTAGCATGGTTGTATTTATGAGATCGAAGTATTAAGTTATGGGTGATACTTGAAAAATCCTGCTAAGAGTTTTGCACTCCATCCAAAGGTTTGGTACAAGAAAGTTATATTAATACCCATGTCGACGACTGTTAATATTATTTTTATAACAAAGAATATTCCCATTAGCCCCGACACAAAAGTTCCGACTGTTGTAAACCAACCCCATAGTTTAAATAACTTATCTTCAACCATTTGCCCAATTGTATGTTAGTCTATTCCAGTGTTTCCCAACCGGTGGTCCGCGGACCACCGGTGGTCCGTGGGCCAGTCATAGGTGGTCCGCGGTACCTTTCTTAGTTTTCTATTAAAAATTATTTTTTTTTTTAAACAGCGAAAAATATTTTATTTTACCGTAATATACGGTTATCTTATCGTTGTTTCTGCCGACGACCGATAAGTAGTTTTGTGTATTCTTGTTAATGAGTAAAAAAAAAAAAAAAAGTCTTCCTAGTTTGCGTAAAATTGAGGTGGTCCGCGACCTATAAAATATTGTCGAAGTGGTCAGTGGTGGTAAAAAGGTTGGGAAACACTGGTCTATTCAATTTTTAAATTGAATACCTTGGTTTACCGTTTCATATCCCATGGACTGTCTAATTATATTGTTTTTAACGGCATCCACTTCTTGGGGATATATAATATGTTGTTGAAAAGCTTTCATCGTATCTTTTGCATATAACCCGGAATTCATTAAAAAATCTAGGTTTTTGTATGTCCATGTCCACGCTGTATTTGGTTTCAACTTTTGTGGCTTTAATATTTTTCTGACACTTGGGAAAAATCCATACCAATTACCATTTAAATTCAATGCCGGTGGGTATAATGAATTGCAGTTGATTTGCGTTCCATATTTTTGTAAAGAATGTGTTTTTGGAGCCATATAGAATGTCTCGTTGTTATATAGAACTGGTAATTCATTGTAACATTCGCCTTTATTGGTTACATCGACACTAACTTTTTTTACTTTTAATTAAATAAATAATTTCGGCGTGTTTGACGGCCGTGTAACCTGGACCACCGCCCATGATATACGCAATCTCCGGAAGATTGTTTGAGGCTAATGTAAGTCTTTGCTGTAATAATTGCCGTTCAAGCACGCATTGTTTTTATAATAAATCATTGTATAATGCGGATATTGTTGATTTGAAAACATTTTCTACATAAAAAAATGTTGAGTTTACGTACGCCATTAAATCAGTGTTTTGAGGAGAAATAGATTTTATTTGAAAATGATTTAAAAACATAGAATCTGTAAGAATAACTAATTGAGTGTGTTCCGTTTGAATTACTGGAATTTCACAAGCAAATGTTTTTTTTATTTTTTTGAGAGCAAATACTATTTTGTCCGTCTCTACGATATACGTATGTCGTATATACTGGAGTTATCGTTAGTGATCGAGATTATCAATGATGCTGGGCCATCAAATAAAACAACGAAATCTTGTTCTTCACAATTAAAATAGTAGTTATTAGTCCATACGGTTTCACCTTAAAACGTGTCAATACCATAGTTATCGGATAATTTCATTTTTGTACCCGACGGAAGTATAAGAGTGTTATCTTTGGTGTTTGCTATAGGCGAATCTTCTGATAAATATATTTTGAATTTATCTTGTACTACGACGTCTTCCCATTCTCCTCTACTCGATTTAAAATTCATGCCTCTACAATTTCCAAATCTGTCCAGTGATCCTGCCACTGTGTGCGATATTAATGTTGTTTCGTTCATTTGCAAATCCGTTACTATACCTCCCAGGGGAAATGTATATGAACGTTTTTGATGAATTTCCAAACATCGAGCATTTCCTAAATCTACGACTTCAGAAAAATACCCTCCCTACTAATTGTGCATCTTCAAATAGTGATCAAACTGATCATCTTGTTATTAAATAATCAACTGATATCAAACACGACTTAAAATGAACAAGGTAAGTTTCAATCCTTTGTAGTAATTGTATTCTCGGCACCTGTTGGGTTGTTGATGCTATTGGAAAATCACAGTTGTCCACTTCTAAGCTGTCAAAGGACGTGACATTTTGAGCAGGCCAATCGTACGCAATGAATCCGAAAGTGAAATGTATGATTGTAATGATGACAAGTATTGTATGTTTTATGCACATTTTTATTGGTTTTAACCTATTAAAAGTAAATAAATTAATCCAAGAAAATAAATGTTAATCAAAAAATAAATGTAAGGCCTAGAATTTCATTTACTAAAAAGTATTGAAAAAAGCATGCATTTATGCACACAAAAATAATGTATGATATATATTCTAAAACTTATTCCAAATATTACAATTAAAAATCGGCGATTTTGATACATTTTCAAAGAAAAATTAACGTAGGTTAATGGCCAATAAGTTTTTATATACTGAGAAACTCCGCAACAAGAAACCCGATTTCTCGATAATCGTGTATGGTGTATCGTGTACTTATGTATATATTTGTAGGTCTTGACTCTCGAGTAGTCGAGTGTGTTCATTAATTTTGTCATTGTGTTTAAACTATTCACTATTTGAAAACGATAGTCGGTAATACTCGGTATATATATCTTATAATATTATGTTACTAATAATCTCAAACAAGTAAAAATTATAACAAATTTAAATTATTTACACCAAAAGCGGAGTGGCCCTAAAAAAAATAATTTACGTTATAAAATAAATGTGTTAGTAACAAGTCTATGTAAAACTAATATATCCATATTCATATTAAAATATTCAAGTTATGCTACAGCATATCTTGCCCTAAAATATATTTGCCTAATATTATTTATTATATATTATCTAAAGACTCTAGATAGGTACCTAATGAACAGTAGATCGTTATTACCAACTCACGATTATTAGTGATCTATAATATTGTAAAATGTTGATTGAAATTTTGTTGTAACTGTTAGTACTTATTTATGTTTTTAACGTATATTCAATATTTAATATTTTTTTTCAAAATAAAATATATTAATATTTTATAAATTATCTACATGTTTTAAATTTGCCCCAACAATTTTTGTTATTTGGTCTTTAAATTGTGTAGCATCCCTTGCCCTTTTTTTTACCAGTCCGCGACGAAGGTTGTAACACCCATCGATGTGTAGGTACTACTTTAGTTTTAACTAAAATTATTACGTTCCTAATTAAAGAAATAAAGAATTATGAATAAATTAATCACACCTATACTATTCTCTATTTATTTACTATTCCAAGTAGGTATGTACCTACTTACTACCTACATTATATTTACGGTGACAGATATAGAATCCAAAACTTAATATGGAATCATCAAATTAATTACCTATAGTTTCAACCAATTATAAAACCAAACATTTAATTTATCACTAATATTTTTGGAACCAAACCATTTATCTAACTAATTCAGGACACCGAGCTATATCTTGGTTGCTTGGTGAGCCACTCTGCCCCTAATTAACATATTTTTCAATAAATGTATGGACTATGTTTAATGTTTATATATATCTTATAAGTTAAGTATTATCTATTTTTTAATATTTACCTAATGTGAGATAAGCTCTTACCTCAATAATAATGAAGTTGATGAATCTAACAACAGTGATGAAGATACTTCTGCCAATGCCAGCAATGATACTTCCTCAGACACAATGTTGAATCATTTAGAAAATCACATAAAAAGAGCTATTAAAAAACCACTTTTAAAACGATATGATAGTAATCTAGCAAGAACAATTTTACAGAAAATAAGTCTTCTGGATCCAAGATACAGAAGTCATTACATCGAATTGTCACAAAAGAATTTTATCATACGTTTAATAAAAGTATTTTTTGAAGTATGATTGTAGAACATATATGTGATAAAAATGGTATAGTTATGAAAAGGTTTAAAGACAACATGCCTGGTAAGGAGTTTGCACTGTCTTTTTTAAAAAGACGTGCAAAGAGCATTAATCCTAGAATTTTTCAAAACATAAAAAGGGCAAGGGCTGCTGTTTTGCCAGAACAAATTAATAATTATTTTGATCATTTAGAAAAATCTATTGAACGTGTACCACCATCAAATATTATAAATTATGACGAAACAAATTTGTCCGATGACCCTGGCAGATCAAAAGTAATTGCTAAAAATTGTATGAAATACCCAGAACGAATCATGAATTCTACAAAGTCGTCAACATCTATCATGTTTACTGTATCCGGGGATGGTAATATTTTACCGACTTATGTAGTATATAAGTCAACATATTTGTATGTGCCTTGGAGAAATAGTGCTCCAAAAGGAACACGATTTAACTGTTATAGATCAGGTTGGTTTAACACAAAATTTTTTGAAGACTGGGTGTTCACTGTTGCTATTCCATACTTGAAAAAGTCAGTCGGTCTAAAAGTTCTTGTAGGGGATAGTCTCTCTTCTCATTTATCTTGTGATGCCATTAAAATGTGTGATGATAGTGGAGCAAAGTTTGTATTTCATCCAGCAAACTCAACGCATTTAACACAACCGTTTGATGTAGCTTTCTTCAGGCCTCTAAATTCTCTAGAATATCTCTGGAATTGAACAAGTATTTATAAAAATTATTTTAAAATGTATTAAAATTTTGGTGATTTGTGTATACATTCCACCTGTTGGTAGGTGAACTAGTTGAAAATATTTCAAATAACCAAGACCTTAAAATACTTATTGTTGGTGATTTTAATTTAAATAATTTAGATTGCTCTTATGAATCACCTAACGTAATTCATCCCTCAGCCAATTTTATTGTCAATTCCTACTTAATTTTTTTAAATTTAAATCATTTTATTGACTTGTTTGTCCCAAAATTCAGAGTATTTAATCATCAAAATCCCGCTTGGTGCAATCCAGAATTACGTAGACTTGTCAACCTAAAAAAAATAGCTCATAAAAAATATAAAATTAGTGCATCACAATACGATTACATTGAGTTTTCGAACCTTCGTAAGAAATGTAAAATACTGTAATTCCAATTAAATTTTTGGATTAGAAAATAACATTTTGACTAATAACCATTTTGGAATTACATTAAAAAAGCTTAAATATAATAAAACTCCTATTCCAGAAAATATGTCGTATAATAATACTACTGCTAGAAGTTTTGATATGAGTCCGCTCAATTTTTTTCCAGTAACATAAATATGAATTACGACCCTTCAAATTGTAATTATAATTTAAATTTATCTTCTTGGTATATTAGTGAGGAAGAAATTGCCGATACTCTGCATTCGATTAATGCATATAGCAGTGTTGGTCCTGATGGTGTGCCTCCTATTTTATTAATGGAATGTAAAATTATTATTACTAAACCACTTCACAAACTAGGTATTCAATTTGTCTCTATCAACGGCCACGTTTCCAATATATCGGAAAAAAATCGTATATTGTTCCTTTTTCCAAAAGTGGTGATAAAAGTAATATTAGTAATTATAGACCGATTTTTAAATTGTCAATTATCGTAAAACTATTTGAGTCTATTATTACTAAAAGCTATCTAAATTATTGTCCAATTATATCAGTCAAAAACAACATGGTTTTCGGTCTAAAATATCCGTTTTCACAAACTTACTAATTTATCACACTGATTTAATATCATGTATAGAAAACGTATGTCAAATGTTTATACTGATTTTAGTAAAGCTTTTGATAGAGTTAATCATATATTACTTATATGCAAACTTCGAAGATTCGGTCTAAATGGCAATTTCCTTAAATGGTAAATTCATACCTAACTAATAGAATCCAGTCAGTTAAATTGTCAAATTCATTTTCAGAAGTTATTCGTGTTTGCTCAGGTGTTTCACTGGGTTCGCACTTGGTACCTTTATTATTCATTATTTTCATTAATGATCTACCATCTGTTTTTAATTCGTTAGTTAATGTCTTAATGTTTGCGGATGACACAAAATTTTATTCAATTATTAATAATCAGAATGATTTTTCATTGATCAGAACAATTAATCTCCAAGAGAATTTAGACAGAATTTCCACATGGTGTCACGAATATTCAGGGGCGTAATAAGGGGGGTATGGGGGATAGATCCTCCCCATGAGCTGTATTTATATATTGTCTTATACCTACAAATAGTTCAAATACCAACTTATAAATTATTACGAAACTAGAAAAATAAATAAATATTTAATAAGTTGTGCACACTTAAATATAACCCGGTTATAAATATTTACCCTTTAACGATAAGCATGATTTCAAAATAAATGGTCTGATTCATTTTGATTCTTATTTATTAATAAACATTGGGTGCCTTGCCACACACTGTACCTAATTTTGAATAGATTATAGATGGTAAGTAATCCGATAATGGGAAAAACCACCAATCCTTAAACATAATATAATAATAAAAATGTAACTTCAAGATTTACATTTCGTAGAACGAATAGCCATATATAGTAGGTACTAAGAACGCGCGCCGACATAAAGTATTGATTATTGCGATTACGTATAAACAGTGAACACTACACTACTAGGTAGTAATTACACACCGTGACACCGTGTCATTCTCTTATAGTCACAGTGTCAGTTACATTTTTATAAACTAAATGCAAAATGGAGCAAAAAAAAAAAGAAAATTACCGGCAACTAGTTTTACTCTATTGAATTTTTTAAAAAGAACCCTGGACCTATTGTATTGTTATTTTTCTGAAAAATGTTCGATTTTCAAATTTGGAGTTGTTTTTTTGATAGCAATGGTTGGATCTAGTTGGTTGGTACAATATAATACATCCCGTGTTTTTTTTTCTAGACATTTTAAGTTGAAATTTTTACAAAATTAGATATTTATAAGCGAAAAATAACGATTTAAGTTATTTTGCGGTAGTTTAATAATATCATGTTTTGTTCACTGGATTGAATAAGAAACATATAATTTCTAATTGGTAACTAATATCACATACCTACTGATATAAAATCTCCATGTTACATGTTTATAAAATAATATTTTGTCATTAAAAGTTTAGTTGGCTTGATATTATTATAATATACATTATATATTGCATATTATATTGTCAATAGTTCCGAAAATGAGTAATTATCGGGATCTTAATAATTGAAGGGTCCGGTGCAAGAACCGGCTATCTCCACTTTTTGAAATTGTTCAGGACAAACAAATAACGAAATTGTTTGATTCCTAATGAGAGTATGAATATTGTGAAAACATATTTGAATTCTTCAAATGAAGAGCTACGTACACATGTATACATATTTACATTTTGATTTTATTAAGTACATAATTTAATTCGTAAAAATAAAGAAACATGGAGATACCTGGTTATTGCACAAAAATTAATTTTTTTTTTCGTGTTTTGACTGAACAACAATTTGAGGTGAAAATATAATCACAAATTATACAATACTGTGAAACATTAAGACTATGTATTATAAACTATGTTTTAATACATAGTAGAGAGAAAAACCGCAACTTATTGATTTATAATAATAATTTAACTGAAATTAAGGAGATACCCGGTTATTGAACCGAAACTCAAGTTTTCCCTTAAAATTATTTTTTTCGTTTTTCGCGGATATTTTCAAAAATATCGGGAATTTTAATTTTTAACCTCTTGAAACTACAAACTAGATTCACTTTTATAACAGAAAGAAGAATTTTAATGCTAAAAAAGTGTTAACAGACACAAAAAAACACGCATTGTAAAATCAATCGCTGCATTCAGAATCTAAAACAGTGGTTATAACTATAGGTATTGCTACCTATATAGTTTAATCAATTTAATTGAAATTACAAATAAACAACTTCCTTTTATTTTATCAAATTAAACAAACGAAATAAAATTAGTAACTAGGTAATAGGTAAATAAAGGTTAAACAAAATATTCAAAATCTAAAATAAGACAACTTACTACCTTTAAACAAATTTTTTTTTTTTAATAATTATTATAACACTGTAACTAGGCAATGCTAGTTTATCAAAATATTATAATAGAAAATAAACAAATTATAAAAAGAGTAACTAGGTAATACCGGTGTAACGAAATATTATTTAAAATACGAAATAAAACAAATTTCACTTTATAAAAACTTAAACAAACAAACAAAAAATATTATAAAATAACATTAATAGTACAATAAATATGACAATGTGATGTTAATGTTAGAAAACTTAATTAGTTTTACTATAGTAACTTTTTTTGTTTTTTAAATATTACTCATCATTCAGCTTCAACGACTAGATTGTTATAGAACCATAAATTATGAGGTGGGACATATTTCGCAGCCAGGTCTTGGACATCCCGAAATTTAGCCTCTTTTATTTTCAAAATTTCTGGGTGTAATAGAGGCAAATTTTCTTCGGGGAACTTCAATATGGCAGATTTTTTTTCCGAATGAAATTCTTCGAATCCTACTGAATTCCCGTATATACTACAAAATAAACCTTCTTTTTTGTATACCATACACCTATAAGCCATAACAGAAAACTTCTGGTCTTCAACACTTTTTACCAATTTCTTAAATAGTGGTTTTGTGTATTCCGAAAAATCAAAAAACATATCTCGAGATACGTCTATAACATTGAATTTTTTCGATGTTTTTTTACAATTTCTTTGTGGACTTTGGCAAATATATACGTTCAACTTTCCTCTTCACCTTTTCAATCAACCCGAAACATCGATCACACGGTGAAAAGCTGTCACCCGGCTCTGGATACCGGTGTGTGATAGTTTCTAAGTTGAAACACTTAGATTTAACGACTGTGTATAAATATTGGAATAAACCATTGTTTTTGTTCTGTGAACTACAGTTGTCTGTAAATATATATATGTGTTTTACACCTGAAGCGATAATATTTTTAAAAAAATGGTCAATGAAACTAATTACATTGTTTTGACCTTTTTTGACTGTCGATTCGTCATACATATAATGGTAAGATTTACCAGTCTTTCCCGAATAAATACAAAAATTATAAACCCAAATTTGGCTTTTATAAAATACTTCTCCACACGGAATATGGGGCGATGGCATATTTTGTTGAAAGTCAAAACTTAATAGTTCTATTTCCTTATCTAATTTGGATTTTTGAACGAATGATTTTAAATCTGTATAAAATACCTCTTCTTTTCTTATATGGACTTCTTTTTCAATTTCAAACTCACGTTTTATTTCTGGAACAGTTTCGTGGTCAATTCAATTTTTTAAGTTTGACACGTATCAGTTTTTGGAGTACCGAAAGTTAAATTGAAATTAGTTTTGAAATATTCCGAAAAATAATCATATTTAACGATTAGTTTAATATTTTTTTCACCTCTTTGTATCATTTCGAATATTTCTGGTTCATTTTTTTCCAAATACAGTTTATACATTTTAGAAATGTTAAGTTCCGGGGATAAATAATGAACATTTGAATTGTCAGATCGGCTGTAATGAGACTGGCATTTTGGAAAACTATTAATATGGGCGTCTATTTTAAATACAATGTCAGCTGATATTTTATTTTGGCGTTTCACATGTTTGCCACGTAAATCTTGTGGACTTGGCTTATTGCTTTTAATATGGTTTACAAGTCTATTAACGATATTATCTATTAGCGATTTTCCTATCCCAAATAAAGAGCAAAAAGAAATTTTACAAACGATTATTTCGTTTTCAACTAGGCGCGTATTTTATAGGTACACGAAACCGATTTTTTTGTTTCAGGCATTCCTTGGACTTTAGGTCTACGTCGTTGTACATTATTTACGCTAATTAGGCCACACAAAAAAGTATCTTGCTTCTCTTTATTACCTATAGCATTGAAACTTTTAATTATTGTAGATTTATCCGTATCCGTGATTTTAGTGAAACATTTGTATATACATTTACATGCAGGCCCAGTCACACGTTTTGGTACTACTTTGTTTGTATAAAGACTTGTATACTCCTCGCCTGTGGCCTTTTGTTTTTTTTCTACATTTCTTTTCCAAATGCTAGGATTTGATTTCCTTTTCTTACCTTTGGTTGTTGTAGCGTCATTAATAATTACTTCATCAGAGTCGTTACTATCAGTGGCTTCAATTACATCGGGACCATTTAACTGCTTTTTTTAGCCTTTTTTTACCTAACCAACATCGGAGTCCAAACATAAAATACCCCCCAAAATATCATCACCGTCAAATAAATTATTAACTGCTTCAAAATCACTGTCTATTAGTTTAAAATCGGGGTCCTCGAAAGAATCGTCGAAATCGGAAAAAGGAACATCATCGCAGTCTTCGAAAATATTAAGTATATCGTCGTCACCGTCCATAATGTCATATAATATTATTAAAACAATAATAAAAATATTTAAGTGTATTGTATACAATATATTATAAGTTTTAACCGATTAAAACAGTAAACTATTAATGAATTAATAAATTTACTTAAATTAATATTAACTATTAAGGGGCCTGCCTGGTCGCGACCTGTTTTTTTGCTCAAAAACATGCCTTACAGGAAAAACTCTCACGCCTTGTAGATTGGTCCGATTTCCGTAATTTTTTTTTTGTTAAATACGAGTAGAGAAAGACGTATTGCAGGGCGCATTGGACTTGGATTTTCAAAATTATTTTTCGAAATCTTATATTACAAGTTTGAATTTAATCCATTTTTACAACTTTCTAGTTTTTGTATTATTATTTATTTTTAGCAACGTAATCAAAAATCAAAGTCCAATGCGCCCTGTAAAAAATATTCTTCTATCTAACAAAAAAAAAAATTACGGAAATCGGACCAATCTACGAGGTGTGAGAGTTTTTCCTGTAAACTGTGTTTTGACCGATATAATACACCCTATCAACCCCCCTAAATAGATGTATTTATAATACAGTGGCAAAAAGATGGCGGCGGTACTCGGGACGAACTGTGTTCGTCGGGTGACGGTTGCAGAGAGAGAGACCGTTGGCAGCCGCCCGACACTTCGCGGTCGCGAACGACGCGAAGGGCCGAGCGGTGTTGCCAACGCAGGGAGCGCGACCGACATGGTGAGGGAGTATGTGGCGAAGTCACTGGTTCGACACATTACTCCCCCCCTTGAAAAAAGAAAAATATTTACAGTTTTTTGGTTTTACAATGAAAGAGAGCCGATGAAAAATAAAGTTGAGCTGTTGACGAAGATGGAAGGTTGATGGTGGTTGAAATGTAGACGGAAGTTGAAATTGAAGGTGAAGCCGAAAAATGAAAGTGGAATGGAAATGTAAACTTCCGGAAAGTTGAATGATGAGTTTATGGTGAAGCTGAAATTTTGATGAGGCGAGAAACCAATCGTGCGATGAGCGCGAACTCATAGCCGCCGTGTACCCGTGTCAGTACTTACACGCAGTGTTACCAGGTCAATAATGTAAATTTCACCAGGTATCTTGTGTAAAAATCACCAGAAATCACCAAAAAAAAAAATCGATTTTAAAATAAATGATAAGGTTTTGATAATATAATAATAATAATTAATAAATAATGCATGAATAATCATGACAAAAGAAATTATTCATCTTTATTTTGGCATGCATATAATAGTTGTAATATTTGTAGGATGATATATATATTTATATATATATAAAATTAAAACAGATTGACTTAAGTGTTCTTTTTAATATTTTAACATAATACAAAAGAACTTAACAAATAACAATGCAAAACTTTTATAACAAGAGTGACTGAGTGAGTGTATGACAATTGACAATATACTCTGTTCCAAAAGAGAACGGTCATTTCGGCCGACCGGTTTTTGTCGGTCGCTGCGCATCTCCCACCAACGACCCATAAATGGGCGGTCATTAATGCCTGATCCAGCGTGCGTTCACGTGTGCATCCTGCATGGTCCTGCGGGTGCGTGCGTCGTGCGTTACTGTGTGGCTCCTATGCGTGCGTGCGTCGTGCGTAACTGTGTGGCTCCTATGTGATAGTGTATACAAAAATTATAATACTGAAATTAGGTACCTAACACTCAGTTGAAGTTGAACTACTTTTTTAATTTTTATAAACTTCCGAATAGATCATCAGTGAATTAACTATTATCTATAACTTGTATCTAGGACCTAGGTAGAGAATAAAAAATATTAATTAATTAATTGATTAGTACTTGTTAAGTATTTAATTATAAAATATAAAATTAATCATAATATAAAATAATTCAAACTGATACAATACAATATTAAAAACTAATTAATAATGTATAAAGTTAATATTATGATAATTAGAAAACTGCGTCTTACATTGCCCATCACTCCATTAAATTAGATGCGATATCGGTCGTATCCACAATTAGTAATTACCCGATAACGCGAAAGCTTCGTGTGAGAGAGATCGATAGTGACTACAGGTAGACAGACAGAGACCGTCACGATACACGCGCCTTAGATATCATCATTATTGGCCATTACACACCGTTCGACCGAATTATACGTTTTATTATATTTCAAATTACGTTTTGTGAGCTGTGTAAGGTGTAACCTCTACGGAGTACGACCTATTTTTCTACCTCTACGACTGTGCACAGTATTTTGTTTTGTTTTCTTTCATTTTTATTTTTTAAGCTATGGAAGACATTCAATCTCCAAGAAAACGTAATCCTCAAGAAAAGGTAAATATTAATTATTCAATTATTATTTAATAATATTATTTAGATGGTGACGTATTGCAGGCGTAAAACGCCGTGAAAAACTAAGAAAAAAACAGGAATTTTTACGCAAAATCTAATTTCGAGAAAATCGATTTTGATTTTTGATACATTTGATAAATTTCAAATTTTGACAAAATACGTAAAAATCATAAAAACTATTTTGAGCAAGAAATTCATAAAAAATTTTCTTTTCAAATCTAAGATTTGAAATTTTAATACAAGATTCCTCATAAGTTTGATAAAGGTGGCAAAAAAAATTGTCTACCAGGAATTAAAATTAAATTTTTTGTTGCGTTTGAAGTTTAAATTTTGATAAAATAAATTACTTTTAAAATTACGAAATTACGTATTAAATAAATTGTTGTAATTTAAAAATATTATTCATTGGTGCTTGAAACTTTTAAGGTATATTAGTTTATACAAATATGATTATATGCAAATAATATTAATTCAACCTATCGACCTAACCTATCGACTACAGTAGTTATAATAACAATATAAATGTAATATAAAATATCTTAGGCTGACAAACCGTCTCCGCTCAGAATCGTTTTTCGTATATAATGATGTATCATTGAATTCAAATTTAACACGATCCATTACAGTGACTCACTTGTAATCTACTGTACAGCAGAGCGTCATACACTTACCCGCTTTTTTATTATTTCAGTTTGTGTCATCTGGCCAAAGAATATTGATTATAAATGCATACAAACACTATATTACCCAAAACCCAAACGCTAAAATGGTTCATCTAAAAAAAGTTTTATCAGAACAACTGGGAATTGGAATTGGAACTATTTATCAAACAATTTTGGAGTACAAACGGTCCAAAACAATTTCATCTCCTAATAGAACCAAAAAGTTTATAAATGTGAAGGATAAGGTAGATGATTTTGATAAATATGCAATAAGACGGAAGATACATAAATTTTGGTGTGACCGCGAGTTCCCGACGTTAGACAAAATACTCCAAGTTGTTAACGAAGATGAGGACTTACCTGATTTCTCTCGTACCTCAATGTACAGATTAGTAAAATCTATGGACTTTGTGTACGTGAAACAAGGCCGTAATAGCGCTTTAATAGAAAAAACTGAAATCGTCGATTGGCGGAGGCGATATTTAAGGGCAATACGGCGATATCGAGAGGAGGGTCGGCCAATATATTATTTGGACGAAACTTGGGTCAATGCTGGTGACGTTCCATACAAAGTTTGGTGCGATAAATCGGTCAAATCAGCGAGAGATGCGACTTCAAAGGGCCTTACAACCGGTGCAGTAAAACCAAGTGGAAAGGGGAAACGTCTTATTGTTTGCCATATTGGTTCTGAAGATGGTTTCGTCCCTGACAGTTTGTTATGCTTTGAGTCTAAAAAAAACACTCAAGACTATCACGATGAAATGAATGGTGAATGTTTTCGTGAATGGTTGGAAAGTGTTTTGCCAAGACTCAAAGATAACGCTGTTATTGTTATGGATAACGCCCCTTATCATTCCGTAAAACAAGAGAAATGCCCAAATGTAAATACAAGGAAAGCCGATATTATTGCGTGGCTCGAGAGCAAAGGAGAGGTTGTTGATAGGTCTATGGTTATTCGAGAACTGATTCCGATTGTCAATAGACTGAAGCCAATGTACAACAAATACGTCATAGATGAAATGGTCAAGTCACACAATAAAGATATACTTCGATTACCACCATATCATTGCGAGTTCAACCCGATTGAGCTCGCATGGTCCAGTATAAAAAATTATGTAAGAAAGAATAATACCACTTTCAAGCTGCATGATGTCAATCGATTATTAATTGAAGGCATCCAAAGGGTAGATTCTGAGATGTGGAAAAATTTTATTAAACATGTGGTTGACGAGGAAGATAAATTATGGAAAATGGACATCGTTGTTGATGAGTTGACGGCTGAACAAGAACCATGTGTTTTAAATCTGGGCCCCGATGACTCGGACTCAGAATCTGACTCTGACTCACAATCGGACTTGGACTCAGATAACGATATCAGACCTCTTTCAGACTAGACTATGATTATTTTTTACTATTATTAATATTATAGTTGTATTATTGTTTTTGACTATGATTATTGTAATTGTATTATTGATTTTGACTATGATTATCTTTTTTTATTTTAGATTGTGAGTGAAACGATGAATGTATTGATTTTACAATGATGTGTGTTTTTTTTTTTATTTTATTTTTTATTTTTTTTGTATCTGTGTACACGATAAGTAGTCGAAATAAGGCTTCGATTTTCGACTTCAGTATCTTGTTCGATTGGAAAGTGAATATCGTTGGTGCATTAAAATATTAAAAATACATAGGCACAATTTTTTTTTATAAGCATTTTAACATCGAATTTTGACAGAATTTTTCAAAATCTCGAAAATTATTAATCATCGTAATTAATAAATTATAAAATGTTCAGTTTTTATAGCTAAGGATTGAAAATTTAAAACAAGATTCCACGTAAGTAGTTAATTCTCTTACCGAAAAATCTAAAAAATATACAATCACAGTTTATTTTTATAGTCATTTTATGTTCAAATTTTGACGAAATTACATATTAAAAAACCTAGTTATTTTGTTGTGATTATATAATATTATTCGTGGGTACCTACTTGAAACTTCTAAAGTGTACTATTATATATATATGATAGTATCAGGGTTTGTTGTTGGTGTATAACGTGTTATAAGTACCTAATGGATATTGTGATAATGTGATATGATTAATTTGGAATTTATTATAGGTCAATTTTTTTTTAATACCATAGATAAGTATATAATTTGTCTTAACCTAGACTGACATACCGTCTTCGCTCAGAATCGTTTTTCTTATACAATGATATTGTATCATTGAATTCAAATTTAATAGCATCAATTATACAGTGACCCACTTGTAACCTACTGTACAGCAGAGCGACATCCACTTACCCACCTTTTTTAATATTATATTTGTATTATTGTTTTTGACTATGATTACTATTATTAATTTGACTATTACCTACATTATAATTGTGTTATTATGATTTTCTATTATTCTTAATTTTGTCTAAAAAATGAGTGTTAGGATTTGACGAACATTTTTCTCTAAGAAAAATTGCGCAGTGATACACTTCACCAATTCAACACAATCGCATTACTAATCAGTAATTAGTAAAGTAGCCGCAGGCCTCGCGCGTTTCAGTAATCGTAAAACCTCGTCAAAGCCTTCGTGAACCGTCGGCTAGCAAGGTGGGAGAGATTTGGCCTTGGCACTGCCGCAGCCGTCAGTCGTATGCGCAAAAGTGACCGTTCTCTTTTGGAACAGAGTATAGTACAATACATATATTTTAAGGTTATGACGGTTCACATATTATAAATTAATTCTGTCATGGAACAAACACTACAATAGTAATAACTAATAATGTTAATTAATTGATAACAATTAATAATTTTATAATATGATATTTTATAGTTTAAGATTATAAGACATAGCTCTACATTATTACTTTATGAAAACACAATATTATTTTACAAATATACAATAATACAATGTACAAAATACAATAGGTAGGTAAGTACTACAGTACCAAACAGCACCACTCATTAAGACATAATTTTTGGTCATTTATACAATATTATAGTCACACAGGAACTATACTCATATAAGAACTAAACCTAAACTAATATAAGTTTGTCAAATTTTAAAATAAATGCATACAAATATTATGGTTTATCATACATTGCATTATTATGCTTCGATAACAAACTTTCAGAAATTTCATAATCATAACAATTTTGGTTTTTTATTTTGCTCATGAATTGTTTGGTGTGTAATAAACCACATAAAGTTTCAGTGGATAACCTATTCCTTATTTTTGTTTTGTTCAGGTTAATTACACTAAATATCCGTTCTACACATGCACTGCTATGTGGAAGGCTCAATAACAACTTAACAAAGTTGTACAATTCGGGAAAAAGTAAGTTGTTGTAACCCCTTTTAACTTTTAAATTAGTTTCCCAAAAAGCTACATGATCTACAATATTTAAATGTGATTTATAGTCACTATTTTGAAACAGTCGCTATTCTCTGTCCAATTCATTTATATTTTTAACAAATGATCCAAAGTAATTTGCAACGGGACCCAACGATTGAACTTTGGAAATATTATTTGGATCAAGGAAATCTAATTTCTTCAACGCTAGTACTTCATTACTGTTAAATGGGAACCGTTGATGGAATTGCTTAAGCAATTCACAGTAAAAGTTTAAACAATTGTTTGAAATATTTTTTTATCGCTGTCATTTAAAATTTTTTTTTCAAAAGCTATTGCCACTTTAGGACCAAAAAAATTAATTAAAAATGAATAGGGTTACGGAATTGTAATTTTGCAATTTCAATTGAATTTAATATATCAGGTTTAATGTAGCAACTTAAAACAAATTTGTATGACGATTCCATTCGAGAATATAATAAAAATAACTTAGGGTTCTGTGATTGAAATTCTATGTTTAAATTAATTATAACTGGAAGAATAAAATGAGGAAATTATAAATAAAGCTCATTTACCGGATTGTTTAGTTGAACATATATTTGTCTAGCCTTATCATTGTTCAATGTGTCATTTTCAAAATCTTGAAGTCTAAAATATGACTTTAAGGCTTCATATTGTTCTAGCACACGACTAACTACTGCTTCCAATGACAACCATCTCGTTTGTGACTGCTGCAACATTTTGTGGGGTTTCAGGTCATGAAATTTCTGGAATTCTTGAAATTCTTTTTGTCTTTTAAAACTCTGGTTCATGAAGTTAAAAATACTTCTAACTAATTTTTCTACAACATCTGGCAGTTTTATGCATGCATAGTTACAACACAGTGCCAGAGAATGACAGATACATTTCATGACAAAAATATTAGGGATATCTTTAGCCAGTAGTGTTCTAAGTGAGTTGTTACTTCCCATCATTGCATTAGCCCCATCGGACGCAAAACCAATCAAGTTATCAATGTATGGTACTTGATACTTTATAAAAAAATGTGTTACAGCGTCATACATACTCTGAGCTGTAGCGCTGTGAATTGGAATCAGTTGTAAAAAATAATCTTTTACCGTCCATTCATAATTAATTCTTACAACAAGTGCCAAATGTTTTATTGAGCTGACATCAGTAGATTCATCAACTAGAAGTGAAAATTTTTGGGTTCTTATTAAATTAATTACAGTTTCAAATCCAGTTGCCCCGATTACATTATTAATTAAAGCTGTGGCCTTGGTACGATGACAAGTAACTTTGCTTAACACTTCTGGTTCCAATTTTATACTTTTGATAAGTTCAACTAGGTGGTCTGGTCAACTTATTGGAATATTATGCTCAGCAATAAATGAAGCTACTCTTATTTCGGTACTTTTAATTGCCTTTTTTGTGTCATAACATTTTTTTTTAGATGCCAATGCATAAACGGATTGTGCCTTTTTTGCAGTCATATTTCTTTCATGTATAGAAGAGTAGCTATGTTTTTTGACAGCAGCTATACCACCTTTACAATCTTTATTACACGCATTGCATTTAAAATAGGTAGAACCTTTCACACTTGGACCAAGCCATCCACATAATTCTTTATTTTTCTCCCAACTCACTTTATAATTCTGAGCATAACTCATTTTTTGTGAAGGTTTTTTCTCTTCTTCAGTGTCATAATCAGATGAACTATTGTTAGACCTGGACAATTTATATAAGAATACATTTGAATAACTCAAAAATCTAAATAAAGGTTTTTTGTAAATAAATACTTACATTATTTCAATACTGAATTCAACTACTAACTACGTATAATAAAAATATATAAATATTAAATATTTAGTCAATATTACTTAAAAACAGGTGTACTGCAGTGCATATGATACAGTATATGACCACATTTATTTCTAAACGCCGAAATTAAGGGTAAATACAAAATGATAAATCTAAAGATAGTGACAGTTACAGATAATTTGTTGTGTTTAGTATAATTCTATAAAACAACTGATTGGAAAAAATGTTTTCAACTATTCATATCTATAGCATGGTTTTATATGCAGTAATAGTAACACATATAATAATAAAAAATGTAGGACCTAAGATTATGTGCAATGAATTATATATGTTAAATAATATAAGATTTAAATATTATTTAAATTTATGCGGGAATTATTGTTATATTCATAATATCCATGGTTATATTATCATAGATAAAATTTGGAAAATTATACGATACTGTGATTATGATATCTGTTCTCGTGTAGTGTGCACATTGAACTATATGATATAGTTCATATAGTTCAATGAGTGTGCACTAGACAGTGATTAGTATTATCTTTATTTGTGATAACGATCAATAAATTTATATTATGTAATTTATTTATGAGCTGCTGATTTCGTATTTTGTGAATATAAAAATGTAAAAAAAAATGAAAAATCACTAGATTTCATATAATTTTCAAAGTTTTTCACCAATCACCAGAATTATTTGAAAATCACCATATCTGGAGAAAAATCACCAAACCTGGCAACACTGCTTACACGCGCGACGTGGGCCGTGGCTGTCCCGTCGGTAGCGACGACGCGCGTGCGTTCCGCACAGGCGGGTGGTGGGCGGTTCGGAGGAGGCGCGGTGTTGCACGAGATGCGGTTCCCCGCGACGGCGGTCTCGAAGACGACGTTCCGCCAGCCGTCTAACTGCTATCGTACTCACGCGGGCGTCTCAACATAGGCGTGCGCAGACCTTGCTGGCAGGGGGGGCAGAATGTAATAATGTACCTATAGGTATATTATATAATATATAGGTAAGTAAATATTATTTTGGTTATTAGTTCAATTAATGTAAGTGATGGAAGTATTTTCATTTTATGTATCATTAAAACTACAAATAACTACAAATTTAATATAGTAATTGAAACTCCAAAGTTTTTTTATATTATATTAATATACATGAACAAAGAAAATTATTACATTCATACAGTGGTGGATCCAGGGGGATGGCAAAGGGGGCATTTGCCCCCCCCCCCCCCAATAACCGTAGTTTTCCTTTGTTTTACACTGTGTTTAGCCAATTTTGGAACTTTCATATACTTTTGAGCCCCCCATGCCCCTCCCAAAATTAAGCCCTGGATCCGCCACTGCATTCATATATATTTTTATGCCCGATGTGTTGGTGAAATCTGAATTTACTAATTCTACTTACTTTTTATTTACAATTACAAAAAAAGTAAGTAAGATAGGTAAATTATTATTTGCACCAACACGTTGAACATATTATAAATATCAACATTTAAAAAAAAATTTAAATCCTTAGTATTGCATTTACATGATTTTTCCAAAAATAGTACCACTATTATATCATGCATTAATGTATCAATAATATTCTATTCTTTGGTAATATTGAAATTTATACATTATTGTAGGCATGTAACCTATTATTTAAACTGTTTTATACATTATACTTTATAGGTATTTAATAGTATTAGGTATATAATAAACAATTTGATTTGTAGGTTACAGTATAAATAGAAAATTAATTTCAATATAAAACACCACATTAAAAAAAAGATAGGTATATTCTGATTTAATCAACACGTTGAGCATAAAAATACTATAATACTAAAAATTCCGAAAATTGCTTCGGAAGTAAAGAGCTATAATATTTGTTCGTATACTGCATACTAATTATTATAATTATTAATTACTAATTATTTAAAGAACCGACCTTCTTAGCGCTTCCGGTGAACGTTTTTCGCATTAAATGCCGTCAAATTACTACTCACTTTCATGTCTCATCACATCTCAATCTACATCATGCTATAATAAGATTATAAGCACTCGTTATCACCGCGGTATCGCTTGTGGTTCGCTTAAAGTTGGACAACATAAAATCATCGTGCACTGTACATCGAGCACTCAATGTTTACATAATATTCATTATATAAAACTGTATTATAATATTTTTTTAAAAACTTTGTTATTTTGTAAGAAAACTTGAGCCCGCAGGAGGGGCAGCTGCCCACCCTGCCCCTCCCGTGCGCACGCCTATGCGTCTCAATGCAGCGATCCTGCGGGGTGCGGAGACGTACACGCTTTCTGCTCAAACGGAAGGACGGCGGCTCGCCAGCCGTTTAACTGCGATCGTACTCACGCGCACGTCTCAATGCAGCGATCCTGCGGGGTGCGGAGACGTACACGCTTTCTGCTCAAACGGAAAGACGGCGGGCGAGCGTATCTTGAGATGAAGATGACAATTTTGAGTTGTTGATGTTGATTGAATTTGAATTGCTGATGTTGATTGAATTTGATTGTACTGACGGCCGAAAAGGTTGATTTTTGATTGCGAAAGATAGTGTTAAAATTTTGAGTTGTGAGGTCCGAGGGTTGAATAGAAAAAGAATAATAATTAAAAAACAAAATGGCGTAAGGCCGAAGCTTATGGCTTAACAATGTTTGCCGGTGTGTGCATTGCACAAGGCGGTAGGCAGCTCTTCGCGTTCGCGCCGTATAACTTGTGGTAGTAGCACGTGGTTTCCTTCGTGGACGGCGGTGACGGTGCGACCGTAGCGATGGGCACCACCAATTTCCTCAGACGCTCGACCTCGATGGTGAGGTGCGCGACTTGTAGGCTTAGCCGATGGACCTGTGCGTTTAAGTCCGCGGATTCCCGCGATGCTGGTACGAAAGCGGTCGGATTCAGGCGCTGCCACCAGCTGACCTGTTTTGACGCCGGTGTCTCGTGCTCGTCGTTCGATTTGCCTGCCATGGCGCGTGCTGTAACACTTTTTTAAGTGCTTCTTCCAAAACTTCATCTGTTATATTGGCATATGGGCGACTGCCAACTTTTTTTTTGTACACACGAACCACTAAAATAATTAAAATACATAAATAAGATTATCAAAGTCACCCCAACACTGCTATCAATTTCGCCCCTCGATAAGAAACGCTATATTGCTTACAACATAATAAACGAAAATAACATAACACAGTATGATTTGAATCATGATGATATGTATATAAAATATAACTTATAAAATTATTAATAAATAACATTTTTACTTACTTTGCGCAGCTAATTCTAAAACGTTGTTATTTTACATTTAAAATAACGTTGAGATTGAAGAGAACACACGTTTGAAATAATTGATAATAAATCAGATCATAACCGTTATCGTTATAAGACCATATTTCTTTATCAATATATACAAAAATAATCAAATTTTTCCGTGCAGTGTAGCCATAGTGTACAAACTATTTTAAGCACAGGTAATTACATAATTCTCTTTTCATAATTTAATCATGCATTGCTTTACTTATTATTTGTAAAATGCTTTATTCACATACTTTTTATAATGGATAATTATGCCTTATAATTTTACATGTCATATACATGCTATTGCAAATGTAGAACACTAAATTTTAATATTTTTACTGTAGGTACTTACTTGGAATTGCAACTCTTAAGAAAATAATAAATTTAAATTGAATACTTAATTTTTTTTATTAAATATTTAGCAAATTAGCATTTTATTAAAATAATTAATTTAAAGTATATTAAGTAGTTAAATATACATATTTTAATATTATTATCATAGTTATTTACCAAGTATTAAAGTAAATTGTACTTTTTATTAATAATACCTACCTACTATTGTAATTTTATTATCATCATTATTATTATTTTTGCAAAGGTATTATGGCGAAGCGCAGGTTACAAAAAATACTTGATTTGTCATGTGAAAATAATAATAACAGTTTCAAAACCAGTAGGGACCATGAACAAAATATTATCCCTAGCTTTTCAGATATTATTGCATCTTCAACAATAGTATTCGATGAAAACTCCTACTCTGGTCAGGATGTTGATTTTATTGAAATAAGGTACTAGCTATCCCTATTGAAGAATATATTGGTTTCTCTAATGAAGATTACCTTGATCAAGCAGATCACAATGTTTTCACTGAAGAAAGTGAAAACATAAATAATGTTGAAATCATAACACTTCCATTTGAATTGAATAATCCTATTATTGAAAGTGACAATCAGGAAACTGACAATATAGATAGTAATATGGAACAGGTACAGGAAGTAGCACAAAATATAAAAAATAATAACCGTAATATAAAACCTAAACCAGATAAGTGGAAGAGAAAAACCAGCCAGAAATTGAGGATGAATGGTGAAGATTATATAGGCTATCAGAGAAAAGGAAATGTTGTATCTCAAGATGTTACTCGTTCAGCCAGGAAGATACAACCAACGTGCAACTCAACATTTTGTAAAAAGTCAAATAGCCGTTTCTGTCATACCTTTGAAGAAAATCAAAGATCAGAAATATTTTCATCCTTTTGGAAAGCATCTTGGGATGAAAAGAAAACATTGGTGTAAAGTATAGTTACTCAAATAAATACTAAACGTAACACAACTGGATCAACAGAAAACCGTAGACGATCAAACACTTACTTGTACCATTTAAAATATCAAAACTCGCCACCATTACCTGTATGTAAGAAAATGTTTTTAGGTACATTAGGGATTAAAGAATGTATGTTACACAATTGGGTAAAAGTATCAGCCAATGGATTACCAAAAAAAAATATAAAGTCTTCCTATAGTAATGTTTTAGGTGAAATTGTTGAGATATCACCTCAAGGAAAAGCCAGAAGAGCTTCATTTGATGTACCTACGTTTGCAACATATTAAAACTTGGTTCAATACATTGCCTAAAATACCTTCACATTATTGTAGAAAAAGAACAGATAGGTTATATTTAGAAGGGCCATTTAATAGTATACAGGAAGTTTTTAATTGCTATAAACAAAAATGTATTGAGGACCAACTTTTGCCTTTTATTATGTGCTTTTTTTCTCAATATATGAAAGAACACAAACTTTCTATATTTATTCCAAAAAATGATCAGTGTGACTTATGTACATCTTATAACAATTTTCAAATATCTGAAGAAGAGTATGCTGAACATATAGCCTATAAAAACAGAGCTAGAGAAGAAAAAGAAAAAGATAAAAAAAATGCTATGTTCTTACCATTGATATGCAGGCTGTAAAATTATGCCCTTCATTAAAAGTGAGTTCTTTGTACTATAACATGAAATTGAAATGCCATAATTTGACAATTTATAACATAGCCAAAGGAGAGTGCAGTAATTATTGGTGGCACGAAGGGGAAGCTGATTTGGAGGCTTCAGTGTTTGCCACAATTTTAATTAAACACTTGATCAGAAAGTGTACTGAAAACCTGCCTATAATAATATATTCTGATGGCTGCGGATATCAAAATAGAAAGTGTGTGATGTCTAATGCTCTTCTTCGGTATTCAATTGCTAAAAATGTGGTAATTGAACAAAAATTATTGATAAAAGGTCACACCCAAATGGAGTGTGACTCTGCACACTCACTCATTGAAAGAAAGTTGAAAAACAAAGACATCTATCTTCCTTCTGATTATATTAGGATTACCACTGAGGCTCGTGTTAAACCATATCCATTTGAAGCATTTTTATTGACTCACAGTTATTTCTATGATTTTAAAAACTTAAAACCTACACTTCAATTAGACCTGGAATTGGTAAAGGTGAGCCTGAGGTCAAAGATATCCGTGCTTTACAGTATGATCCATCTACTTCTAGTATTAGTTATAAGCTGTTGTTCGATGAACCATACTGTACTATAATAAGTTTTAAGTCTCTCCTGAAAAATATCAAAAATGTAGATACGAGATATTGTCACTAAGGTAACGATATATTTTACGTGGAACATTGTTTGAACACTTTAATCCTCATAGCTATAAAATTTGAACATTTTATAAATTTTTCACAAAAAATCATTTTTAAATATTGTAAATATGATGCATTTTGTAAAAATTCAAACAAAATGTTTATAAAATATATGTGTGCATATGTATTTTTATTATTTTTCAAATACTATTGTAACAATATATAATGAGCCTTGTATTACATTATCTAACTTTTTCATCCAACAAATAATTATAGAGACAATTATAAAAAAAAAAAAAATTAAAAATTAAAAATGTTCGTAAAAAGCTTCAATTGAGTCAGAATATTTTGAAAATTGTATCATACCTATATGGGAATTAGTAAAATAAACATATGGTTTAAATTTAAAGTATCTGCATTTATTCGTTTTTGAATTACAGGAATTACAGTAAAATAAGAAAATCTCTATATGAGATATCGGGTGAATATTTAATAATTAATATCTAAATAATAGATTCCTTGTAAAATCCTGGCAGGGGGAGGGTGGGATAACAGTCACAAAGTTGTACGGGTATGTAGGTTTACGACTGTGATGCTACCTGCTAGTGACGTATTAGATTTACTACATATTTTCGTACCTATTTAACTTTTATGAACTTAGTACTAAGAAAATACGAACCCAATAATATACCAAGAACATCTGAGAAAAGTACTAGATAATTACCAAAATTGCAACGTGTTCTTCACAGATGCTTCAAAAACTGAAAAAGGATTAGGTATTGCAATCGTACACCACGAAACAACAATCAAATATAGACTACCAAAAGAATGTTCTATTTTTTCTGCTGAGGCAATAGCCGTCCTCAAAACAATAGAACTCATACCCAAATACAAGATAAAATATCAAGAGCACACTACGAAGCTTAGAGAACAATACAAACCCAACAGACATTGCAAAGAACATACAAGAAAAAACCAACGACCTAAAGCTTAGGGGTATAAATATCAATTTTATTTGGGTACCAGGCCACACAAATATAAGGGGGAACGAAATGGCAGACCAAGCAGCAAAGGAAGCGGCACAACCAAACAACCTCAATATACAGTTTCTCGACACCGTAACATATGATGACATCAAAACTCACATCAAAAACAAATCACTAATAAAATGGCAAACGCACTGGTCTAAACAACAGACCAAACTCAACGAAATTAAAAACACAATTTTTAACTGGCAAAACCCAAATCTCAGCATAAAAGAAAAAATTCTTATAAATCGTCTCCGAATAGGTCACACAAGGCTGACTCATCAACACCTCATGGCCAAAAAAGAACCCACCCAATGTATAGTCTGTGGGGTTACACTAACAATGAAGCACATAATTACTGAGTGTTATCAATATGCCGAAGATCTAAAAAAATACAACATCCCACCCAACTTGTATGAAGCTCTAGGACCAGATAGTGAAAACATATCGAATATGTTAACCTTCCTCAAAAAATCCGATTTATACGACAAAATTTGAACCTACTGTTAAAGAAAATTGTAATATAAATATTTTTTTTTTTTTTTTTATTTTTAATCTAGAATTTATACAATCTATACTACAAAAAAAGTACAATAAGCATAATGTTTGTTTTTAAATTAATTGCAATAGCTTGAATGTCTTGAGAGAAGAAACCGTCCAGTGAAGATACTTCGACTTGAATAAAAATATAAATAATATAAATATAAATTTAAATTGTAACCATATATAATGAACACCATACAAATACTGTATTTTTAATAATGACTATGTAATTTTGCACAAAACTAATAACCTTTGTTGTTGATGTTTTTTTAAGTTCAATAAAAAAAAAAAAAAAGAACTTAGTACTTATATTATAATATAGACATATGAAATATGAAAAAAAAATAAAAAAAAATCGATTAACCTAAATAATATTATTTCAATTTTGTTTCTATATAATATTTATATAATGAGTCTTGTTACACTACTTTATTTTCATTGCTAAAGGATGAATATATACGTAAATCCCGGACAATTCGAATGATAATAACCGAAATGTTTCGTACAATGGTACTTATGTCATAAACATTTTAGTGATGAGATTTTTTCTTTGAAAACAATCAACATTTTCTTGCATTTCCATGAGCTAATCACAAAAATTAATTTTTTTATTTAAAATTACTTATTATGTTACTATGAGAATGGCACAACATTCACGTATATGTATATCCAACCAAAAGCAAGTCAAAAATCACTAAAAAAAAAAAAATTTCTAAATTGGTTGCAACGTAGTAATGCTCAATTTTTTATTTGGAGATAATAATTAATAGTGAATATAAAATATAAAAAGTTTGACATTGATTTTAATTTTTTAATTTTTGACTCTTGTTCAGACGTTCAGTTATGACTATATACTATATAGTGACTATAAGTCATCACGACTGTACGAAATATCACATAAAAGAATTCACAACATTACAGTGTAAAATAATGCCACTAGAGAGCAATTACGTAAAGAACGTACGACCACCGTACAGCTTTGTAGCCACCTTATTTTATACATATTTTTGATCTAGTTATCATTAAATCATTGTTGTGCATTTTGAATAGACTTTGCATCATTTGAGTTAAATGTGTCGATAACTTATTTGACTTTGTCAACGTTTTTACCATAATAAAACGCTGCATCAACCCAGTTCCCCATCGGGTAATAATAGGTTGTGGGGGTAAACTTAAGTTTGGACATTTTTCTTTAAAAGTACCTACACGATTACTTGCTTTTAAAAAAACTTTTTGTGTTAGATATCATCAAATCAACATTTGAGAATTCATCCCTAATAGCTTCTGATAAGGGTCATACAAGTAATATGGATTAGTTTAGGATAAAATACCTTAAGCGCATGTCCAGATTTTACCATATAAGGAGCGGCGTCTGTGACGTACAATAACACTTAGTCATGCAATACTTTTTCAGGCCATAATATACTCATTGAATCATTGAATAATTTCGAAATTGTTTGAAAATTTGTCTTTTATAAATGTTCAACAGTTAAAACAATCGGTTTTGTTGAATTTTCAGAAGACAGAGAACCAATTATTACACTTGCGACATATCGTCCTTGGACATCAATAGTTTCGTCTATTGATACCCAAATAGAACTATTCCCTATTTCCTTCCTAATATTACGTAATACGTCTTCGTAACATAATGGAACATAGTTTTTTAGTACAGTCGATTCATCGGGTAATTTTATTTTAATATACTTTTCAAAAAAATTGTTAATTCTGCGTTTTTAATTTCCATAAAGGGCATATCATTTTCTACTATAAACGTTGTTAAATCATTGTTAAACTCATTTAAATGTTGGTTATTTGTTCTAGCTTGAGTAAACGATTTTTGAATAAATTGTTGACTGACCTGTTCTTTATTAGACTTCAACTTATAGTTTCCGATGTGTTTTGAAGTACTAAATGTTTTGTAACCTGTGATTTTCTATTACACGACACGTTGATACCAAAACAAATACAAAATAATACACCTCCGTCTGTTTTAAATATGCCTGGATATTCGGTTACATAATAATGTGCTTTATTTGCCTTTGGCATTTTTTTTTAAATGTTGATAATTGATATTAAGAAAAAAAACCGTGGACACACTACACCGACGAACAACAGCCAGTAACTAATATTACTATAATATTATGTTAGCTTAATCGCATGTCAGAGAAATCAGATTATGATATATATATTATATATATTTATCTATAAGATAAGGTCTATAATGCGTCTATACGTCTGTCACGGAATTCCCTTTTATAAAATATTTTGTTTTATTCGGTCGAATTATATTTGTCAGGAACGTCGGCGATCGGGCAAAATCGGCATGCATATCAAACTTTGAGTAAAATTTAAAATATTTTATCAAGTATTTATTAAATATGCACATTTTATGTAATTACCCCGAAATATGCAATTATTATGCATTTTGATGCAAATATGCAAAAATATGCAAAATAAAAACATTAGAATCTACGTTTTACGAAACATCAAGATATTTAATCAGAATTATTATACGTCAAATGTAGAAGATTATGCATTTGCATAAAAATCCGGGCCCTAATTATGATACTCGAGGCAAGGTTGGCATTTCTGTTTAAATGTGACCGCAATTTCGATATTTTTTGATTTGGGTATGAACAATATAAATAAATATTTTATCAAACATAAATCGAAAAAAAATACTAATAAAAAGTAGACAAATTCAACTGTCTATAAATATCACAGAACGAGGAAAAATATATTTAATATTATAAAATCATACCTAGAAAATGCTAATATAAATATTTGGTGAAAAATGTAAAGCCAACAGTTTAAAAATTTTAAATAGGTAATAAAAATAATATTTAGTTATGTAAATAACTTACTGACTTTGAAAAAAATGCCAGTATTATTAATGCCAGTAGTATTGTGAAGTTTATTTTAGATCTCCCTAAAGTAACAACTTGATCTAATTTTCTACCAGACAACACCTTTCCAGTATTTTTGATCGAAGCTTTTTTTCAACCATAATAAGCAGTGAGACACAATAAAAACACATAATCGTTAAACCAATGCATCCGTTGCTCTACTCAGAATCTAAAAATTTTAAAAGCGTTGAATTCTTGTTCCTTTGGTGGATTTCATTAAACCCATCCAAGTTTCAGAAGGACTCTTGAAAATTAAAATTCTGAACGGAGATGGGAATATATATATTGATTTTAGAAAGGTTTTCTGTTTTGTATGAAAATTATACACTATTAACGCTAGAGTGTTGCTCCGGAAGTTTTGTGTAGTAGCAACTTTTGAAATCAGTAGTTTAATCTTATAGCTAATACTTTGAAGTTTGAACAGGATTATTTTGGTTGCTCTAAAAAGAAAGACTAACGGAATATTAAAAGAAAAAGTTC